AGAAATAAAAGCCAGGACTTGCCATAGCCATGCCACCAGATCCCGGGCAAGGCTATTTTATTCGGGCACCCAGGAGGGGGGCGGGTGAGTTCCCCTCCCCACCCCAAGGGACCCAGCCCCAGCAGCCAAAAAGTCCAATACTCACTCAACCGCCCCCATGCTCACAGCTGTTCTCCACACACTCGACTGAGCCTCACCCACGAGTGAACCTATTCCTGGACCATGCGGCCACGAACATCTCACACCTCACACCAATCATGTTCCAAGAGCAGCATACCACATTTGATGGGTTTAAAGCAGAAGGTAACCAATCTTGAAGGAAAATGTATTTGTACATACACACACACACAATGCTCAACCTTTAACAAATTTCATAATCTCTTAAAGAAGGGCTTAATGGCCCCTTGGTGAAATACAACAATCTTCACACACTTTCCTCTAAGGAAACTTTTTTGGAGCATTTTCAGTGGTTTTCATAACAAACAATACAAAATAGATTATTTTCGTTCTGCTTTGGGGCAGGGGTTGGGGTTTGGGATGGAAACATCTGAAATATGGTGGTGGGAAGGTGTAATGGTGGTGGGATTGGTGTTTGAATATTAAATGTAATCAAATATTGTGAACTACTTTATAAAAATAAAATTTAAAAAAAGAAATAAAACAAAAGCAAGAACAAAATGAAAGCATAGCTCTTACTCTTATTCGTGGATCAGGTGCACTATCAATGAGCAGTGATATTTTGAGAAAAAAAAAACCCTACACTTAAATTATAGTTTAGGTAATAGGGTTACAGTAATGTTTAAATCTCTGATATGGATGTTCAAAGTTACTGCACAGCTCTGTCACCAAAGTGCTCATGACCTTCTCCTTAACCACCAGGTGTGGCCAAAAACTTTTTTGTTCCTGTTTTTGGGCCACACCTAGTGATGTCCAGGAATTATTCCAGGCTTTGCACTCAGGAATTATTACTGTCGGTGCAGGAAGGGGGTAGGGGGCTATATGGGATGAGTGCAAGGCAAGCTGTACTATCTCTCCAGCCCCACAAAGAAATTTTCTTATTAAATTGTTGGCCTAGTTTTTGGCCTACCTTGGCTTTCAACATGCCTTCATTTCTAGCTTTCCACTTAAAGTGAGAGATGTTCCTTTCATTTGCACACCTAGAAGCTATTGTAAGTTTATTCTTTGACCTAATTTAATTTTGGGGGAGGGGTCTGGGCTTACTCCTGCCCTGAGGGGTACTTGGTTGGGCTTTACTCCTGGCTCTGGTTAAGGATCACTCCTGGCAGTGTTTAGGGGTCCATCCATCTCTGGTGCTGGAGTGAACTTGGGCTAGATGCTTGCACTGTTTTATCTCTCTGGTTCTACCCATCTCTAAGAGAGACCCATGCCCAGTTCTTTTACCATATAGATGTATATTTGATTTTATTTTTTAACTATCAAAAGAGTTATTTTTTCTAGTTTCATATGAGGCCTCTCACTGTCACTGTCATTGTCCTTCCATTGTTCATCGATTTGCTCGAGCGGGCCCAGTAACGTCTCCATTGGAGACTTTGTTGTTACTGTGTCTGGCATATCGAATACTCTCGGTAGCTTGCCGGGCTCTCTGAGAGGGGCGGAGGAATCGAACTCGGGTCGGCCATGTTGGCTGCGTGCAAGGCAAACGCCCTACCTCTGTGCTCTTTATGACAATGATATTTTGTGACACAGGCTTTATTTTCTTTGGTGGAATTCTGTCTGAAAAAATTGTAACAAGCGTTGGCAAAACTTGACTATAAAGAGCCAGATAGTAAATATTTTAAGTTTTATGGATTACACACTGTCTGTTGAAACTACTCAATTTCACTTTTGTAGCACTGAAGCAATATGTAAATGAATGGGTAAAGTTCCAATAAAATTGATGTTATAAGAAAGGCATACCTCACTGGGTTTGCAACCTCAGAACTCTAAGACTATATCTAATATCAAAATTTTGAGGACAAAAAACCCCACTGGATCTACACACGGAAATATCAAATAGGCTATCACCAATTCTGGTTTCTCACTGTGTCCCTGCCACTTAAAAAGACAATGAACAGGGAACAGGAAGTGGTGGCATGCAGAAGGCCCACCTTGGTCAATACCTACTCTAAAGCCTTGAGAGGACAAAACTGCTGCTATATTTAGCAAGCACCTATTGCTTGTCTTGGGCTGTTGGAGGCATTTTCACGTAAATGTTAATCTATCATGATTTGAGAGCTCAACTTAGGGCTTTGATATTTTAAGAGTCACACTCACTCTGAGGGAACCTGGATAAAAAGGACAGATGTAACATGCAAAAACATGTGACTCAGCCACACATTAAAACATTTCACTGCCCAACCTAGACTACAGACGCAAAGAGGATAATATTGAGGGCAGGAATCTTAAGAATGATTTTTAACTCATTCTTTTTAAAGTTTTACCTGAAGCAATATTAAGTGATTTATAAGAATTATCTTGGGGTCATATCCAGGAATGCTCAGTGGTTAGTCCTGACACTGCACTCAGGAATAACTCTGGGCGGTGATTGGGAGACCATATAGAATTCTGGGGATTGAACCCAGGTTGGCCGTGTGCAAGGCAAGTGCCCTATCCATTCTACTATTGCTCCAGCCTCTTAAATACATTTTTAACCAAAAGGCTTTTAATTTACTCTGGCTAAACCTGTATAGCAAAACTTAACGAGAATATCTGGTTTTAGCTTACCCATAATGTCTTACTAACCCATAAAGTCTTACTAAGCAAAATTTAGTAAGGGTTATTACCTCTCTTCATATAAAAAATTTTCACTTGTATTCTATGCACATAAAGAGTATTTTAAAAACTGACTTAATTAACGTCTTCCCTCAATGTGATTGAGAATAAACCAAAGGTTAAAAAAACTGTGTCCAGGGGGTATGGTGCTGCCAGCAGGTCAATCTGTACCTGTGAGGCGAGTACATCAGCAGCCTGATGGCACTGTCAGACTTCCAGATACCCCCAAATTGCTGTTGTGCCTTTGGCCAGACCCCAAAAACTTGGGGGCAAAGTTTACCAAGAAAGTAAACGGCCAAAAGTTAGGTATGTGGGAGACACACCCACAAACCACCTCCGGCTCAGCTATATAATTGGAGGCATGGCTTCTCTGGTTCCTGATCAAACTGCTTAACGGACATCATCCCAGAGACTCAGAAATCTCAGAACCCAAAGGTTTTTGGCAGAAATGTGTCCTGTTCCTGCAGTAGGTTACTGGAACTGGGCCACTCCAGGTGGGAATAGATTTGTGCCTTGGCCTGTTCCCCCTGGCGGCCCGGTGACCACTATCCTCCAGAGGCCACTGGACAGTCAGGTTTGGGCCTGCAATGATGAGACACATGGGTCCTCACCAGATGGGGGTGGAACCGGCCCTTTCCTCCCCATTCCAAGGAGACCCCGAGTCCCTGCCTACAAACGGCCTCTCTGGCTCCTGATCAAGCTGATTAACGGCCATGATCCCAGAGACTCAGAAACAAATATCGAAACCCAGCAGCTTTTGGCAGAAATGCATCTGGACCGCATACAAGGTGGCCACCGCCTCAGAGTTTATAGGAAAGCCAGGTTTGAGCTGGCGGTGATGGGGCAACTGCAGTCTCATGGGAAGGGGGACGGTACCGGCTCATCCTTCACGCCCTACCAAGGTCATAAATTGCCCCCCACAAGTGGCTCTCCAGCACAGACATAACACAAGACTCACAGAAACCAGTCTCATAATTATCTGGCTCTTTGTAGAAATCCAAAATCTAAAATATGATTCTCATAACCAGCTATAGAAAACAAAGTATTTCACAATGCCTCTTTAGCAATTCTGATTTGGGGGGGGGTGGAATTCTAAACAATAATGGTGCATTTTTGTTGAAATAATGAATGTAATCAATGTAGAAAAGAGTTAAGTAGAAATCATCTGCCTCACAGGCATTGGGAGGGCTGGGGGTGTATATTGGGGTTCTTGGTGGTGAAAAATGAGCACTGGTGAAGGGAGGGGTGTTTGATCATTGTATGGCCGAGTCTTAAACCTGAAAGCTTTGTAACTTTTCCCACAGTGACTCAATAAATAAATATAAGAAAAAAACTGTGTCCATTTAAATAACTCCAAGAAGATAGAAAATTGCACTTACTTCCACAATTCACTGCAGAAAAACTGTTACAACTAACCATCTCAGCTGATTTAGAAATATCACTGAAAAACAGAGCCAATATCCAAATGGTCACAGCATCAAACTCCCAAAATTCTGCCATTACCTAGGGAGAATCAAGAGTTTCCTCCCCTTCCCTCAGACTTTGGCAAAATTGGGATTCATGACTACTGCAAAAAAGGAAAAGCAGGGACCAAAAAGATAATACAGTGGGTAAGGTGCTTGCCTTGCTCACAGCTGACCCTGGTTGGATTCCTAGCATTCTATATAGGACCCCCCTCACCCCCTGCCCCAGGCACCACCAGGAGCATTGCTGTGTGTGGCCCAAAATGTAAAAGAAAAGAAAAGAAAACAGGGAGAACTGAAGTCACATGACTGCTAAACCTGGGTTCCAAAAGGGCTTGTTCTATCATTTGACTCTATGGCTCTAAGGACCCTACATGAGACCTTAAAAGCATCCACTATGCTATTCTAAGTCCAAATAAACACACCCAAAGAGATAAAATGTGGCTGATCTAAGGTTGAGCAACAGCCAGTATCAGCCATAAGAAATGTGAATGAGCAAGCCTTTAGTGGACAATATCCCCCACCCCATCTTTGGGCTTCCCAGCTGATACACACCGTGCACAGCTGAACCCTTTTGAGCTCTGTCCCAATCACTGAGTCAGAAACAAAATAAACACTGGTAATACTAAGTTTTAAACTTTATAACTAAACCACAGACTGGGCACATAAAAAGGAATTCACTTGAAGCAACATTAACTTCGTATTCTATTCCCCATTTTGATCCCCAGATGTAGGCAGAAATTAAAAAAATATATATACACCTACTTCTTCCGACAGTGATGCTCTGTTGCAAGACGGTTATGTACAGCTGCAGGGTCAGCTGGGGGGCTGAGCCCAGGAAAGCCTGGATCACTGATGCTCGGCTGAACGCAGATCGATGAGTGAATAGCTTGCCATCTGCCTGGCCCACTTCTTTCTCAATCTCCTGTGAGCGGCCATATTTTGGTATCTGCCGCTTCTTGGTGATGCTGACATAAGGCTCTTCCTTATGTCCTGACTGACAGTAGAGGCAGAAGACTTCGAAGCACCTGGAAGCAAATCAGTAAGTCATGAGAATTAGAGGCAGAGAGGATTCTCTCTTTGCTCAGTCACTCTGCTTATACTTCTTTAGCTTAATTCTTGAACCCTTTATTGCTTACTCTGAGCTATAGCCTCTCCTCTAAAATCACCCGCTCTGAGGAAAAGTTCTGAATACTAGCCCTCTTGAGGTCCTACAGCAGGTCAATGAGAACTGTGTCAGACCCAGATTCAGAGGTGACACTGAAAGACATCAAGAACAAGGAAACCAGAAAGAGAGTGGGAAACAGTTCAAGCTCCAGAGCCACAGAAAATATGTTTACTTTTCCTTTTCTGACACAAGTCAGGTAACCCCTGAGCTCTCTCTTTCACTTTTAGACTGTCGTTATTCTGCCAGCTTATAAAGAAGAGAAGACACTGTGTGTTATAAATGCACTTATGCACATATTAAATTTAATACATGTAATGTATGTTTAATATATTTAATTATGAATGCACAGATATGTATATAATTACATTAATATGCAATTTAACATACAAATATAACAGAAATGCCTATATATAATAAATTTGAATATACGTAAATATTCCATGTATTTGTACAGCTATTTCACATCCAATATATGCTCCAAATCAATTCCATTAAAGTAGCAGCTATAGCTGGAAGCTACCCCAGCACAGAACATTTTGCCATCTAGCTAGCATTTCCCTGGAAGACGACAATATATTATGTATCTCTCTGTTCTCTTAAACCCTTCCAGGACAGAACTGAAGTTACTCATGCCTGGAGACTTGCCAGGTATGTCTAATAAATGCAACTGCAAACCTGCCCTAGATGGAGCCATAACTAGTTACCTTTCTCAGCCGAGTAGCTAGCTTTGAACACTGGATTTCCTTCTGTAAGTAATGATTATGGGGACTAAAGGAGAGAAGAGTACTGATGTGTGTGATTTTACTTAAAGCATATACACACAGACACGCACACACACAAATAAACTGAGCAACAGTACAGTGGATAGGGTGTTTGCCTTGCACTCAGGGCCTTAAGCACCACCAGCTGTGGCCTAAGAAACAAAAAGGGGGAAACCCCCGTAATAACAAAGCAAACAGTCTGATGGATTGATACAGGGAATAGATAGATGCAAAAAAAAATGTTAAATGTAGAATTTCGACGGTGAGTACTTGAGTGCTGTATAGTTTTTTCGTTCTAGTTGTCTTCTGTATATTTGAAAAATTTTGGGAGAGACTGAGGAAAATGGGTCTTTCCAAGGAATAAGAAAAAAGGTTTATGGCCTGAGGCTTAAAAATTGATAAAGAATATTTTCTTCCAAACATGCATTTGTATCACAACTTTATAATGTTACAAGAACAGTTTCTGGCTTCATTTACTTCATTGAATGTTAAATTTGTACTTATACCCTCAGGGTAGTAGAGCAGTGAGAGTCCATTCTATAATTTGATATAATAAAAAATGTATTGTAAGAGAGCAAATACAGGAATGTCTGTGGATATTACTAAGTGGACATATTTTGTGACTATTACACCTCTGTTAGTTTGTTCAACTGGGAAAAAAGGGTGCATAGTGGGGACTGCAAGTGTGAGTGTGGATGCGAATGTGAGTGTTTATGTGACACACTTGTTTGCTACACTTTGGTAGGATCACAAAGATTTAATATATTATAGGAAAATCTGCAAAAGATCCTGGACCAAGTTGGTCAGCTGAAAATAATGAAGCTCATGGTATTAGCTGGGCTGAATAGACCCAGCAACTCCACATTAAGACTAAAAGGCAGAATAAAATAAGCATTGTTTCACTCTCAAATTTTGATGAATGCAAATTCATTTTGTTTGCTTTGGTGTTTTTGGCTAAACCTGGCAAGGTTTACAGGATTATGTGGTGCCAGGAATTGAACACCGGTCTCCTAGATACAGACAGATGCATTTTACTAAGTGCTGTGGACCATACAAAATCAATTGGATATCATTTGCTCATTCCAAGGTGCTCACAATGTAAATAGGAAAACAGAACATATACATAGTAATGATAATTAATAAATGAACTAATATTATTATATAACACTTTCAGTTTAAAACATAGTTCTCAAACATTAACTCAGAAATTCTACTCTAAGGGCGCTGGAATAGGGCCTTGCATGCGGCTGACCAGGGTTCAATCCCTGGCACCACATATTGTCCCCCAAACCCCTAAAGGAGTGATCCCTGAGTGCAGAGCCAAGAGTAAGCCCTGAGCACCACCATGTGTGATTCCCCCCCCCCGAAAAAAAAAAGCAACCGTACTCTAAGAGTTTGAATCATTAGACTATTTGTCCTAGTAAAATTCTGGGAATACCCTAAAGGTCCCAAAATAAAACAATGGCTAAATCAATCATAAAAGCACTGTAGCACTGTCCTCCCGTTGTTCATCGACTTGCTTGAGCAGGAACCAGTAACGTCTCCATTGTGAGACTTGTTACTGTTTTTGGCATATCAAATACGCCACGGGGAGCTTGCCAGGCTCTGCCATGTGGGCAGATACTCTCGGTAGCTTGCAGAGCTCTCAGAGGGATGGAGGAATCGAACCCGGGTCGGCTGCGTGCAAGGCGAACACCCTACCTGATATGCTATATAAATATGTTAGCCAACCCTTAAAACTTATGGTAGATATTTGTAAATACATATAATGTTTGCTATAGGTACAGGGAATAAATTACAATAGAAAATACAGAGATAATCTATTTCTGTACTGGGCCCGCTCTTATTATCTTATATCTTATTATCAATGATAATGATAATGGGTCTTATTCTCCTGAGCCTGAAAGAGCCTCGAATGTGGCACTTTCTAAAATCTCAGGGCTAGGATGAAGGAGACGTTACTGATGCCTGCTCAAGGAAATCGATGAACAACAGAATGACAGTGATACAGTGAATCTATTTCTGTAAAAACAAAAATATATATATACAAATCACACAAACACATACACATGAACTGTGTTTGAACTGGTTTGTACTGACTCAAAAATCTATTAGAAATTTGTAAGCCAGTTGTTAAACAACTGATCATTTAAAGAGGGACATAATGGAAATAGTTACATCACAGAAATCAGCAAACACTGCTAGTTAAAGACATACAACACTTTAGAATTGGGCTAGACATCTGTATTGTAAACCATAATGCCTAAAATGAGACAGAGAAAGAAAGAGAGAGTGGAGAGGTGCTCACCATAGAGGCAGGCTGGGGTGGGAGGTGACTTGGGGGTATGTGTGAGGGAAACTGGGGACATTGGTGCTGGGAAATCTCACTGGTGGAGGGTGTTAGAACATAGTATGACTGAAACCCAATCATGAACAGTTTTGTAATGCTCTACCTCTCATGGAGATTCAATAAAATTTAAAAAAAAAATATATATATATATATTTGGGCCAAAGAAATAATACAGTGGGTACAGCATTTGTCTTGCATGCAGCTGACCCAGGATTGATATCCAGAATCCCATATGGTCTCCCAAGCACCACCAGGAATAATTCCTGAGTGCAGAGCCAGTAGTAACCCCAGAGCATCGCCAGAAGTGACCGAAAACTCAAAAAAAGCTTTAAGAATTGTTCTTGAGACAGTTGTATCAGAGGGCTTTAAAAATACTTTTCAATTGTGCTTATCTGTTTCCTGCTCTGCTGTTGCTACAATAACAGACTGTTTCAGCAGAATAATAAAATCAAGCTTAAGCTTTTTTTTAAATTTCTTAAATTGATCTCATTATTGTTATTTTTTGCTTTGGGGACCATACTTGGCAGTGCTCAGGGACCATCTGTGGTGCCAAGAATTGGACCCAGGTCAGCCACATGCAAGGGCATTACTCACTATACTATCTATTTGGCCCAAACTTCAGTTTTCAAAGACTAAACCAAGAAAACAGTATATGGTAAGGGCTGAATAAGACTAAGATTCAGAGGAGAAAGTAATTCTATTAATGCTGGAAAGGTGACTGAAATGAGAAGCATTTAAAGAATTGTGTGTAAGGGGGCAGAAAGATATTGCAAAGAGCTAGTTTGTGTGTTATGTATGCTGGAGGTCTAGGTGTGATCCTCAGCACCATATAGTCTCCTGAGCACCACTGGGGAAGCTGGAAAAGCATTACTGGGTGTGGCCCAAAAGCCAAATAAAAGAATAAATAATAAAGAATTGTAGGTGAAATGAAACTTCAGTGTCTACCACTGAAAACAAAAGAAGGTCCAAGAATGAACCAATTTTTGATGTGGTCTCTGAAACCCTGGTGGAACCCCTCAAAATCCACTGCTTTTCCCAAATCATACATTTAAAATAGTTTTAATATATAATAAGGGATTTGTAAATTTGTGAAAGACCCCCAAATTTTCTGCCATCAATAGGTAAGAAATTTGATTTGATTTTCATTATTATTATTATTATTTTTGTTTTTTTGCACTGTAACTAGTGGTGCTCAGAGAACACTGCTGCATCAAGGTGGGGTCAGTTGCATGCAAGACAAGTGCCTTACCCGCTGTACTTGTTCTCTTCTCTGGCCTTAAGAAAGCTGATTTTTAAAAACCACTCTACTTTTACAGTTCTACAAGACCCATCCAATTCCTTCAAGTCTACTTTGTTGTTCTGTGATTCTGTTTTGTTTTTACTTCCAAGGACATATAAATATAGCTATATATAAATATCTTAGTGAAAAATAATTCAAGGTAAATTTTCGGCAAACATGTATTTTGACAAACTTCTGTAAAATATTTACAAAGCACAAGTATTTCAGACTTTGGGGACCCTGATCTTTATCTTTTGTGCAATTGCTGCTGCACAAAAACAGCCATAGATAAGACCTAAAGAATGAGAGTATTTTGTAAATGGTTTTATGGCTGTGTAAAACTATTTACAAAAGTAGAAATTTAGGAAATTTGGTCTGGGGAGGCATAGTTTGATGACCCCTAATGTCATCAATAGGATGATTCCTCTTTTTCACTTAATCCTATTTACAGGCATCATAATAGAACAAATGTATTCCTTTGCTGAAACCAGAAGATGGGGTCAGCACAAATCCTGTTGTACCAGAGACCTTATTTAAAGTAGTAATAAAAAATAAAATGCTCAAAGAAATACTATAATTTCTTATATGTGTTTGTCACAAGACAACCATGCTCCATGAGGGTACATAAGAACTAGTTAAACACAAAGTTCCATGTGACCTTTGAAAAGCCACTTGTTTAATCTCACTGAGCCTCAATTCCTCAACTGTCAGAAAGAGATAATGACAGTCTGATGGTTTTGAAATTACTGCTTGCAAGACGGAAAACCATTTAAAAAGCTCCTTAAATTTAAGTCATTTTTCTTTTGGGGGGTTCTTTTTTGAGGAGGGGGTGGTGGGGATAATTGTCAGGCTCTGCACTCAGCGATCAGTCCTGGTAGTGCATATGGGGTGCCAGGGATCAAGCCCGGGTTGGCTGCATGCAAAGCAAACACCTACCTACTGTTCTATTGGTCTGGTTCCAGCTATTATTATTTTAAAATATTGAAAGTTTAAATAGAGAAAAATACTAATCATTGTGCAATATTCCATAAAAATTACTGGAAATTCTTAGCTTCTCATTTAGAAACCCCAATTTTTCATATATTTTCATCACTATATCATAATAAACATGAAGAAATATTCCTTCAATTTGCAATTCATTTATATTTATTCCCTCTCCTAATGAATGTATGGCATGTACAAAAGAATGATGAGCCTTAATTTTTACAGTTGCTAAAGAAGTGTTTTGCCCTTTGATTTTCCAGAATACTTATATACCAAGCACAAGAACATTTCCCTTCAAACAGAAAAAAATTGACTCAACATATTAGCCAATGTTCTTATCACTTCAACCCAGCCTTAATGAGGAAACTCAACTTAATATACAAACTGCAACTTAAATTTTAAGTTTAAAACTAAATAATTATGCTGTTCTCTGCCAAGCTTCCTTAAAAGAGTGAGGCCTTGTTTGAAGTATTGAACCCAATAGTCATTACAGTGTACTTAAGTGAACTCAAAAATAGCATCTCACCTAAAAAGGATATGAATATACACCCTAAGATAAATAGAGCTAAAAATTCCCAAAAGCTTTTTTTCAACATATTACTAAGTCCAAGTGATAAGAAAAAAGAAACATACCATGACTCTCCCTTGTTTGGCAGAAATAAAGCTGGTCTTTATGTAAAGCTGAATGTCTTAATGTTAAAATAGAATCAATCAGTCAGCAGAAAGAATTTCCAATCAGATAATGGACTCGGGCTAATACAGAACATTAAACTGCTTTTCTTTTCATTTTGCAATCAGAAAGGGTTGGAGCCACATTTCAGAAGACCTTAGGTCCAAAATCTCCTTGAAATAAATTAGCTGAGTGAAACAGTGTTTGCTGATCAAGACTATTTGTTGCTGGGTGGGGGAGGGCATTTCTTGTGTTTCATTTTATTTTCCGTTTAAGACAATGACCCATTCAGAATCTTCTAGAAATAGGTAATTTTTATAATATGAAAACTTTGTCTGAGGAGTTATTTATTCAACTCATCAAACTTTCTTTAATGTTTGTTTACTTTGGTAAAGGATAACTTTTTTTTTTTTTTTTTTTTTTTTACAATTTGAGAATTATCAGATTTCAATTTTTTGAAAATGAAGTTTTTTTTTTTTCCCCCCTTTATTTTATTTTATTTTTTTTAAAGTTGTAGATTTACAATTTTTTGTGCTTTGGTTTCAATTATACAATGATCAGATACCCATCCCTCCACCAGTGCCCATTTTCCACCACCATGGGTAATATCCCTCCCACCCCCATCCCCCCATCCCCCCGTCTCTGTGGCAGGGCAATCCCCTGTGTTCTCTCTCTCCTTTTGGGGTAAAGGATAACTTTTAACTGGTTATTTTTAGTGTGACACTGGGAAAAATGACTAAAATTATATAATAACAGAGAAAATAGTGCACTGTTCTTTTTATCTTTCAGGAGAAAACTTGAATCACCCATAACTGTTATCAAAATTTACCACTTTTAATATCTTGGTATATTTCCTTAAATTTGGGTTTATATTTGCCATTCTGCTTTCATACACAATGTTATAGTATCAGTTTTGTCTTGGGTTACTCAATATTTATTTATTGTGGAGGGGAGTGTGGACCACACCCAGTGATTCTCAGAGGCTAGTCTTCTTGGCATTGCACTCAGGAATTACTCCTGGGATGGCAGAGATCAAACCTGGGTCAGCTGTGCGCCAAGACAAATGCCCTACCTGCAGTACATTGCTCCAGCTACTATTCAGTATTTAGAAGCATATTTCATTATTAGTTTAGGGGCCCCCTGTAGTGCTCAGGGAGGGACCATCCTATGCCAGGGATTAAAGCCAGGGCCTCGCACATGCTCTATTTCTACTACTTGAGTCACCTTCCTTGCCCCCAGAAACATTTAAAATGGCAGTAATGACTGAGTATAATGGAATATTATCATTTAGTTGCATGGGCATCTGGATTGTTTTTCAAAATTTTTCCAAGATGGCGAAACTTTCTCATTCTAAGAGAGAACTATTGGTAAAACAGTACTCCACACTCTGCCTTTCAGAGCGTAGGGAATATAACTGAGTTCCACTAAGAAGCCTTGTTAACAGGATCTGAGGCCACATTTTCCTCATCTATAAAATCGGCACAATTACATCTACCACATAGTGAGGGTTCAATGTCTGTGTGTGTGTCACGGCAAGGGAGATTCCTGGCTAGCTGAATTTACTGGCACTTGAATTTTAAGCGACTTTCCAGCCTTTCTCCTGAGTTCCTCTATCACCTACATCTGAATTCAGGGTTATCTCCAATCCAAATGCAAACCATCTACTTTTCCTACAAAGATGAAAGATACAACCACACTTGAAACTCTCCCCTTAGTGCCCAGACAAGCCAACGTCTATTTCAATCCCATACCATTCTACTTGCTTGTGGTTCATAAAAAAATCGATTTCCACAAACGTCGCTAGTAGTCACTTCTAATCCCTGGTCCACTGTGGGGGCTTTCAGGGCACACTGTGTACATTCATAAGGTACTACCTTGCTCCCCACTGCAGTCTTCCAACCCAAGAGAAAAGAACTGCTGGACGGATGCCTCGATCTCTGCATCCAGACGAATGTTAAGTCTGTGAAGCACGGGGTACGGCCCAGAAGGGGACCCAGAGAAAACAGGCCTTGGACTCGAAGGATTGGATGTAATAATGTGTGCACGCTTTTTGGAGAAAGGGAGATTTGGACCTCACGCTTCCCCAGGGCTTGGGACGATCGCCAGGCCTGTGTCGGACGAGGCGAAATCACTCGAAACTGACGCCTGGCTGGGCTAAATTCAGAGACCCACTGGCCATGTCAGCCCTGGTGTCTGGGAGTGCTGCGGGGCGCCTAGGCTTTCTCCCCACTCTCTGGGCAGTAAGTCGCCCGCCTGAGAGCCGGCTGGGCAAAGCCGAGTGGCTCGTGCCGGACTCAGGGCTCTGCCTCTCCTGGATGTTGGTCCTCGGGCCCGGGCTGGGCGGGAAGAGGCCGGGGGGTGTGCGGCCTAGGGCTGGGAGTCACGCACGCACCTGTAGAGGGGCCCGAGCTGGAGCAGGTGGAGCAGCAGCAGGAGCGGCCGGTCTCGGCTGAGATCGCGGTGCACAAAGAGGAGCGTGAGCTGCACGAGAGCGCAGGGCACCAGCGAGAAGATCAGGGTCAGCGACCGCCAGATGCCATCTCCTGCCTTGTGGTAGGTGCTGCTCAGGTAGAACGCCACCAGCGTCTCGGCCAAGAACAGGAACACGGACGCCAGCACCGAGAACGGGAATTTCATCTCCTCCGGGAGGGTCATCGGCGCCCGCAGGCGGCCAACGCGGTGGTGGCGACGGTTGCCTGCGGGATTCCCGGCATGCCTGGCCCCAGGCTGCTCTCGCGCCCGGCGCAGCCCGTCGGGCCCGGCCCACCCGCCGGGTCGCGGGAGCGGGGGTTGGGGGCAACCGACCGAGTTGGGGTGGGGCAGGGCGCGCGGCCCCGCAGGGACACGCCCACGCGCGTCGTGCGCCGCCCGCGCCTGGCCAGGGTGCCCGCGACGGCGTCTGGGGGAGTGACGGGTCCCTGGCGGGCCGCGAACCCGCGCCACACGACCGCTCGTGTCGCAGACGGCGAGACTACAACGGCCCCCGACTAGCCTCGCGCCGCCGACTCTGGGTCCTAGAGCCCGTCGGCCGAGAGCGCGCGCGTTCCCTTTGAAGAACTGCAACCAATGGGGCTCCGCATTGCGGTCTGGGACGCCGTTACAGCCCGGTGTTTTCTGGGCCCAGGAAACGTCTCATTCTTTAATGGGCTGACGTTTCCGATTGTTTCTAAAGAACCGGACCGGGGACCTGACCGTTAGAGCGGGTAGGGCTCTTGCCTTGCACGCGACTGACCCCGTTTCAATCCTCGGCGCCCCATATGGTCTCCCCTCCCCCACCCAGCCCCCGCAGGAGTGATCCCTGAGTGCTGAGCCAGGAGTAACCCCTGAGAACTGCCGGTGTGATCCAAAAGCCAAAAGACAAAATGAAGAACCCGACCTCATAGATGCTTTTCGGTATTGTCATATGATGTGTCCAGGACCTACTTTTTTTTTTTCTGGGCTAGGTAAACTTTCCCTTAATCTTCCAAATTCGGCGGTCTGAAGCGTTGCTTTCTAGTGGTAAAAGAGCATCAGAGATCATCTGTGAGAACTAATGCCTTCTTTCTCAGAAAAAAAGAAAATAACAACAAAAAAAACCTATCTCCAAAATGTATTCTTCTGTAACGGGAACTAACTCAAAGACCAGAGCCTAAAAAAGAAATGGTGTCTTAACTCAAGACATACCTTTCTACCTGGTGTGTGTCAGGGCTAAGACACAGTTCCTACTTTCTCATTAAATTCTTGACAACCTTCAGGACATTAACATGGGCTCAGCTTGTCCCTGAGAACTCTATCAAGGCACTAAATATCTCTAATCTCAGACCAAACCGGTTCCATTGGAAACTTTAATAATTATGAGATTCCTTTACTCTTGTGAAATTTGTTGATTCCATCAGTCTGTAGGCGTCTCTGGCCTTTTTTTAAATTTAGGATTATGATGTGGACACAAATAGACTGTAAAGATTCAGTAGGAACCAAGACCAAAAGTGGAGAGGGAGAGAACATGAAGGGCTGTTTTTCTTCATTCTTGTGTTGCATGGGAAAATCTATTTATAAGGGTTAAGAGGAGGATTCAGCCAACAGCTGAGCAGTACCAGGCCCATTCTCTAAAGGGATTACTAATATCTATTTATAGAAGCCTGCAGGCTACCACTTCAGGGATCAAGATACACACACTGTCATACACACAGAACAGGCAGCAACACACCACAGAGTATTTGTGCAATATTTTATTTGACACTGTCTTAAGCTTTAAAGGAAAAATATTCATTAATAGCTTAGAATTATTGATCAGAATACACTCGATACTTAGCGTTAGATTTAAGTTTAAGGCAAAGGATTATCACGGGTTTACATTAATAAGTAGACTGTACATAAATATAGAGGGGCAATATGCCAATAAATAACATCACATTAAACACTACAGCGTCCAGTTTATGGTAAATAATTTCCCACAGTACAAAACTAATACACAAAACACATTTGGAAAGATCACAGTGTTTTAAACATTGTTGACAACAGTTTTAAAAACAATAAGGTGCATCTTTAACCTTCTGACTCAATCCCGCTTCTAAAGTGATTTCATTATACTGTACAGTGGCTGTGAGCAAGTCACCAATGTGAAGTGGAGGCAATGTCAACTGACTGTAGTACTCTGCCCTCCAGGAACAAGCAAGAACAAAAGCTAAAATCTGATGAGCACTTGCAAGTGGTCCTTCTCAGTCTGCACACCAGTTAACTTGCCCCATTGACCTTGTCTTTAATGTATTGGCCATTTTGTCCTTGAGAGTAATGTGTATATTTGAGCTTATGACTGCTGGTTTCCCTGTCAAATGCCTAAAGAGATTTTGAATAAAGATCAATTTGATGTCACACACTAACTTGCTAGGACCGAAATATTCATCATTAAAAAATAGTATGCACACAATAATAGATTTATAGAAAGTGCTTTTGGCAAAATAATATGTAATAGGCCAGAATATTTGAGAATTTGGTTTTATTATAAAATACAGTACTCCAACATTTCTGTGATATAGTAAAATGTCAGGCAGAATTCTCTGCTCTAAATTTAGACCTACATGCTACAGATATCTTTGAAAAATCCTCAAAGTGTCCCTAAAGAAATATAATAATTAGCAAGAGGTCATAGAACCTGTATTTTTAAAATTGTGGCAAAAAGATATTTTTGAAGAAGCCTCATTTTCTGTGTAAAACTTTCAAATATTTTTGTTATATAGATATAACTAGTATTGAATCAAATGCTAATGAAATTTGTAGAATTAAAAAGTAATAACATCTCTATTAATTGATGCTCTGATTTTATAATTTTATATTTGTAAGTCTGCCCTTGTGTTGAAGCAAATGTAATACAGATTATAGTTTTATTAATATTACTAATTTACCAGTTATTCAAAATTAATAGTACTTTAAGACTATTTATTCATTCCTAGATATAATTAGGAATAATCAATTATATTCTATTAACAGAGTATTCTTTAGTACATACACACCCAATCCAAACTAAGGAAGTGCACTAGTTTACTGGTTTGTCAAATATATTATTAGGAAGGTAAACTTTTCTCCAAAGATACTATCAGATTTTTAAGTGTTATAAATTGTGCAAAAATTCTTTTTGGTGAAGTAAATTCTACTTACTTGGGAAATTCCAAAAACTAATATGATGCTTGACTTTTCCACTGTATATGGCTTTGCAAAGTGTTTCCTTTAATTGGTTTCTACAAAATCCACTTTTTAAAAAGTTTTTAGCACTGTTGAGTCCATAAAATTAAAATTCATATTTCCTTTCCAAAAAGATCTCTGCCTCTCTCGCCCACCCCCTATATATAATTAGGAATAATCAATTATATTCTGTTGAGTGTTCAGAGCTGGAAAAGCTACAGCCTTTTAGGAGTATGAGCTTTACCAGACAGATTCCAAAACCAAACTTTTGTCCTTAGAATGTTACAATCATACTCCTGGAGAGTCCTTATAAAATGCACAGTAACCTTCGCATTTTCAGGAACAAAAGGATTCTACAGTCTTCAGAAGACATGTCTAATACTGAAACATGAAAATACTTAAAATCCCCAAACTGATCATTTAAATCAGTCTTTGTATTTGAATACACTCAGAAGGGTTGGGCTGGAGCGATAGCACAGCGGGTAGGGCGTTCGCCTTACAAGCGGCCAACATGGCCGACCCGAGTTCGATTCCTCCGCCCCTCTCGGAGAGCCCGGCAAGCTACCGAGAGTATTCGATATGCCAGACACAGTAACAACTACAGTCAACTTGGACTAAATTCAGCGACAGAAGTTACTGCATTGGTAATTGCCACTTAAGCACAAATCCCCAAATGAAAGGGGACGCAGCCAGAATCAGAAGTACCACAAAAAGAGCAAAACAGACCGTTTGCTAACGATTGACAACTGTCAAATCTGTATTGTTTTTAAACTGACAGCTAAGTCACAGTTACTTTACATATATTACAAAAGGAGTACACATTAAAGCATGTAAATTAGTACTGTACACAAACTATAGAAGAAAACCACAGCAGGAACAGTATCTCTCTACATTAGAAACCACATACTTTCTTTGTTTACGCGTATACACACTCCCCTTATCTTTAAAAAGTGCTCAGAGTTTCTGACAGAATGAGTTGAAGGTAGGCTCTCTGAAGGTCTGTGTGGCTCTAAAGATATTAAAGTCATTTCTTGTTTCAATTTATTAGTGGTTCTAGAATAAAATATGCCTCAGCACTTGAGTGATTCTGAATACAAAGAATAAACAGAGATATGCTCCAAAAAGTGGAGAACGGGGAAAGACATAGGTTTTTCTGATGTACAGATATTTATGGCAATTTTCAGAAGTCTTATCTCAGGATAACCTCAGGGCTCTCTGAGGGCAAGCTAATTCGCATGGGTTAATACTTTGGGACAGAACCTTTGTTCCAGTGGCTTTAATGAGGTAGGGAAGGAAGGGGCTGGGTAAGGGATGTTAAAATGCCTCTGTGGGTAAAACAAATATTATAACCATACCATAAATGTACAGTGCCCATGTATTTATAGTGGTAGCTAGGCAACAATAACAATCAGGAGACTGAACCCTACAGATAAAGAACTCAAAAGCTTCCAATCTGTTTCTTTGTCTAGGAGAGTTGATTTTTCAGTCTGCGATGTGTTCACAAGGCATGTTCACACCCCTTCAGATGGGGTTAAAGCCTATGTTTTTTAAAATGTTAACTTATTTAATGACAAAAATCCAATTTTTCACAGGGCAGCTCCTGGTACTAATGTTTCATATTTGGGGAAACACTGTACTACTCATATGATATGCAGTGCTCTGATTCAATTTTCTCTTGTGTTAACAAACAAAAACTACATATGCTATAGAAAGATGTTCATCAACACTATGAGGCAATGGTGATATACCAACTCTGGCTGTGATACAGTGGCTCATCCACATCTGGCACCTCAGCACACAAAATGCAGATAATCCAACTTCAAGTGTGCAGTGAGCATCAATTTCAGACTTTGAAGACCCGATATAAAAAATGTGAAGTATCTCAATAATTTTATATTGATTACATATTGAAATGATAATTTGTTGGATATGTGGGGTACAGTCAAATACATTATTTAAATAAACTTCACCTTGTTTTTTGACTGTATGTGGCTAGTAGAAAATGTCAAAATCACACGTGTCTCACATTTGTTAGCTTCTTCTAATGGCTTTTACCCTGCAGAAGAAGTTTCAAAGAAAAGCAAGACTTAACCTAGAAGTGTACCTAGGACCCTCATTAATATTACTGATGTAGGAGAGCAGTTAACACACAAGAAAGACCCATTCATTAATCAACTTATGCTTGTATCTATCCATTCACTTGCATGTATCTAATTACTATAACTAAATGTTGGTGTTTATTTCATGTGTGATATTAACTCTACTTATATCAGAACATTTCTCTCTCCCTCCCTCCCCTGCCTCTCTCTCACACACAAACCATTTCCTTTAGGAACTAAGAAAAAACAAAGAAGGCACAAACAGGAGTCTCCTTGCAAACTGTGTTTACACAGTCCTCAAGAATTGAACATTGTCTATCTTTACTCCATATTGTGTAGGAAGCAGAAAGGCAAAGAAAAGAAAGATAATCTTTTTTTTGACCCTAATACTTGGTCAGCAACTTCCTACCCAAAGAACAAAAGTATGAAAGACTTGGTTTTCATTTTAAATAATTTTTCAAATTCAGTAACAGGTACACACAAAGAAATAAGGAGATGGAGAAAATTCTGCAAATAAAGGAGTTTGCCATTTTTTGAGGACTCAAGGTGAAAGTGACATGGTTCAATACTTTAAGGAAATAAAAGTGAGTATTTTTAAACCCCCAAATTACCTCTATCAGACTGTGATTCATTAGCACTTTTAATTAAAGAAACAAGAAAAAGAGGACATCCCAACTTTGAGATTTATGCTAATGCAGGAGACCCAGATATTTAATGTTGCATCAACTTTTTTTTAAAAAACAACAGCACAAATAAAGTAACCAGGTTTTATTACAGAGGTGAGCAGGATAAATGCCATTCTTTTCTCAAGCACAGTGCATTCAGAAGTGGACTCTTCCTGAACAACCTATAATGTGAGGATGGAATGGGTCTGACTTCTACTGCTGACCATAAGGTCAGCCCTTCTCTGTCCAGAGGGCATTCCGGACTTGCTGAGCCTGAAGCTCCTAGCTTCCAACTGACATGGATGGAAAAGATAAGGAGATAACCTGCCCTTTCAGGCAAAACAAAGTCACAGGATTAAGCAGAGGACAGACATACCAGAATTTAGATGAGGAGGACAAGAAGTGGCTGAATCCGAGGAGTATGGGATGGAAGGGCCCAGGAAGTGATAAAATCCATGCGTAAGGATGGGACTATTTGTTAGCAGCATTAAATCTGCAGCTAGAACTCACACTGACATGCTGAGTGGCCACCAGCTGCTCCTTCACCCACCCCTTTGCTAGCTTTCTCATCTGCTTTACTTGCCAAATTTATGCCCAGATAACATGGTTTTGGTGAATCTGAGGCTAAGTTGTTTAGCTATCAATCTGGGACTAAACTGACCAAATCATCCTGGTCCCCAAAGGAAGGTCTTATAATGCAATTAAGGATCTATTTCTATATGTCTCCCGGTTCTTTCACTTGGCAGATCTGACTCTCCAGCTTTTCTCCTAGTAATGTAAAATTCTGTTTACAACAAGCAAAAAATATTGCATTTAAAGGAGCTCTTGAGCTCAACAATATATTAATGCTCTTGTAAGTCTTAACCTTTCAAGGAACAAAGGCAATTGAGATTGGTTCTAGAATTCAAAATGCTCTGTTTTTACCCATCAAGTGATCCCAATCCCTGACCACTGAAATCACATATAGGGATTCCATTTGGTCGAAATGCTTATTTGGGATCAAAACTGAGAATGAATGATAAGAAAGGGAGTATCACTATACAAATTGTGTACTCAATTACCTGAAGAATCACAGGATAAAATATACAACTGAACTTCTGCTCATAGTTACCAGGTTACAAATGAACCATCCCCTGCCACAATAAAAAGGCCTAAAAAGGATTTGAGCAAATATAAATATGCAATACTTTGGGTTACATGTGAGTTATAATATTTTGCAAAAGTTCCTATCCTTAAAGTATAATGCAGTATTCCCCACTGCTGAAAGATTCCTTCAATGTAAAGTTAATCATTTCCACTGTTATCTTCAGTGTCTTATTGTGCATGCTAGTAATGGTACAAAACAAACTTTCCCATAATCCTCAAGTGGCAATCTAACTAAGCACTATTCAAAAATGAATGTTATTACATAAAAGGGACCAAGTGCTGTGATGTCAATTCATAAAGACATAACCATTGCATTTGTTTGGATCTGAAACACAAAAGCGTTGTGTGTCACAATGATCATAGAATAATGCAATAGTCATTCTACTGACTTTAAAAGGGAGGATGTGGGGCCAGACAGATAGTATAGTAGGTAAAGTACTTGCCTTGCATGCAGCTAACCCAGGTTCAATTTCTGGAACCCCAAGTCCCCAGAGAGTACAGAGCCAGCAGTAAGCCTCAAACACTGCTGTGTTTGCCCCCCAAACTAACAAACTAAAAAAAGGATGACTAGGAACGAGTCCTATTCCATTTTTCTAAAATTCCCAGAAATGAAACAGATATGCTAAAATAGATTAGCACTTCATAGTGCTTTAGGTCTTAGTTCTTGTAGATGTAGTGGAAAGATCAACAAACAGTTGTTAGTGGATGTAGTTCTTGTAGTGGGACTATCAACAAATAAAAACAGAAAGTTACTTCTAGTAATGTTTTTTTTCTTAAACCTCTGTAATCCCACATTTTAGTCCAGGGCACTAATATTCTTAGAAAGTGAAACACTGGGTAGGACTTCTCATTCTGCTCCTCCCCAGTTATGAGTCTTTGGATCAATTGAGAGATTTCTGAATAGTGGGGGAAAACATGTTTTCCATAAAGTTCTATGTGTGAGATACTTACTACCCTTTAGCCTTGAGACCCTATAGGGGTCAAGTGAAGTGAATTTAAAATCAGATGGTGAAAAGCAAGGACCCGTCTCATTTCTAAAGGAGACTGCTCTGTAGAAGGATGAGCCTTAAGGTTCTGAGAGGTCCTTAACTATATGCAAAAGAACTTTTAATATCCACCTGACAGTTGTTGGGAAATTGCTATTCATGTGGCATTCCCCAACCTGAGTATTTCCAAAGACAAACAATTGAAGCCAATGTATATATCTAAGGCTATAAAAATTAAACTGCAGCGTACTTTTAAAGACCATTTTGTCCTTGTTTGTTCTGATGAGTGCAAACATAAGAGTCACAAAATACACAAAGATGGTTCTTAACTTTCTTTAGCCACAGATTCTTTGAGAATCTTGTAGATGCTAGATATTCACTTCCCAGAAAAAATGACCATACTCACACACATACACACAAGCATACAGGCACATACACACAACCAATATACGCATACAAGTGTGTATGCACACTAAAATATACCTTCCTAGATATTCCCAAAGTTTTTCAATGAATCAAGAATTTAGGAACTGGGGAACTAAATAACTTTGAGATTACAGGAGGGTAGATGAAGAATGTGTACATATATACACATATATGTATTCTGTCATACATATAGCATATATTTATTCTACATCTATGATGGATCTTATATAGAATGCAATTTTCTCTTATATATCAAATTGACAGTGACCAAATTAAAGGAAAGGGGCAAACTTCAGAGTATCTAAGTGAAAGATACTCCTACAGTGTTCTGAAAACTACTATTTACTTGTAGTTTTACAACTTCTTTTTGTTTACAGGAGGGTTGGATTTAACATGACAACTTGGCTTGGATTAATGTAGAGAATTTCTAGTAGAGCCTGAAAGTTAGAAGGTAAGATGAACAGTCAGGGACTTCACTCATTTCTTAATCTAACAGTATAAAATTGAGCAAAGTTCTTTTCACAATTATTGGCCACTTTTTCAGTGAGCGCTTCTCAATCCTAGGGAACACAGTATTCCATCAAAGGCAGAACCAACACCCCTTTGGATAGTTATTCTGTTCTTAGAGATGAGTGATCTTTACCACAAGTACATTTTAAAATTCAGCTAATAGCATCATAAGGATTACACACACATTTGAAAAATTACTAACAACAGACTATACACAACTCACACTTCAAATTGAGAACAACACATTAGATAGCAACACTTGCTACAGTACTTGCTAGTCTATGAATTTTAATATTCTAATTGAGCTTTAGGAAAGAAAAAGGAACCAGGAAATGAGATACTCTAAGATCTAAGGAAAATTTGAATTTCAGGGTTAAATTAAGTTATGATATGGACTCTTTGATGTTCCCAGGTTAATGATAAAAATAAGTTGTTATATGCAAATTAAACCATTCAGTAAAAATCATGAATTTCAGTAAGGCATAGAACAACCAAAATTAATTTTTTTGTCCTTCAGCAACCAGACATTTCACCCCTCCTAACCATTTTCAATTGGGCAATACGTTCCAGTTTTTGGCTTTCAGTTTTAATTTTGTCCTTGTATCTGCATTTAGTGTTGGAGAGAACACAGAAATGATCAAATTCCAATTGCAATGGCATTGGCATTTCATTCCCATAGTCCACATTTCATTTCTATGCCATAACTGAAAAACATTTCTCTTTCCCTTTTTTCTCTGATCTCTGGATTCACATCTACTGTTCAAAATAATTAATCTCTATGTGTTTAAGAAGATTTTTATGGTGTCATTACTTTGCAGGTTCTCAAACTATTTCCCCTAAAGTATGGTATCATGTTGCCTTCACCTGCCTACTCCCTTCCTTCCCTTAAGTGGCAATGTTAAGGCTCATGGTTGTGATACCATAATGAGGTTTATGTGACAATTGCCTTAAGTGTGATCAGGAAATATCAGGGACATTCTGCAGGGCCAGAATGGGAGATGGAACCTTCTAAACAAAGACGCTGAAGAGAGGGAACTCTGCCTGATTGGGCTGCAGCAGATCAATCAGGAAGCACACCGTTCCAGAGAAGCCTTCATACAAGCTGTACACACTTTCAAGGACCCGAGAACCAGACTTGAATTCCTCAGTAAATAAAAATTCAGCAAACCTAGAAGAAGAAAATATGGACAGTTTCAATAAAGATGTTTCCATTATTACAAAAAACAGAAACCATTATGGGTCCAAAATAGAGTCTCTTGAACTAAGCCCAACACAGTAACTATTCTTACTGTGCCTTTATTTATTGTTCCTGCTGCTCTGTTTTGGGGTCATACCCAGTAATTCTCAGGGGGCACTCTCAGCTCAATGCTCAGGAGTTACTCCTGGTGTTTTTTGGAGGACCATGTAGTACCAGGGTTTGATCCTGGGCCTCCCGCATGCAAAGAACATTCTCCATCCCTTTAAGCATCTCTCTTTATTTCTCTCCTCTCTCCTTTCTTCTCTCTCTCTTCTCTCTCTCTCTCTCTCTCTCTCTCTCTCTCTCTCTCTCTCTCTCTCTCTCTCTCTCTCTCCCCCCTCCCTCCTTTTCGGTATTATAGTTTGCAATACCGATACTGAGAGACAAGCATGATAAATGTCATCTTAACTGGTCAGTGTGGAATTACCTGATCAGCACCAATGAGAAAATAATTTCCATTTCCCAAAAGGAAACAAAATAATATGTTACATAGACTTTTTTCATTCCCCATTGGTAGGTTACCTATGCCTAAAGTATGTTTTTTGATTTATAACTTCCTTGTACTGATTTATGATTTCCTCTCTCTTTTTTTCTGTAGCACTTTAGAGCTTGCTTCTAATTCTTGGATGGGCTCCCATCTTATTCATGAATTGTTGAATATGGTCAATCAGATCCTTAAATCGACTTTATTGGGTTTTTGTTTTGAAAAAACCATATTATTTAAAACCATATTATTAGTCTTGAGGTGCTTTTTCCTCTTCTCTGCTAAGTTAAAATTTCCTTGTCATTTTCTTTCTAGATTGAACAATATTTTTAGAAAGCTTTTTCCTCTGTTAAAAAATCTGTTATATAATTGTGCGAGTTTCACAAAAAATCATGTTGGCAAGCAAATTTGACTATTTTCAGAGTTTGCAAAGCAATGCATTTGGTACTACCTGAGGATTCATTCCTTCTGTCATCCAATAGTTAAAAGTGAAAAAAAAGTCATATTTTCATTTATCTTGAATAGAAGCATGCTGATATATGACTGTTCATTTAAAAGACTAAATTTGGGGACTTGATATATAGTTCAGTGGTTGAGCAAATGTTGCTTTGCATGTGTAAGGTCACAAGTAGAGCGCATGCTTTGCATGTTTAAGGTCTTGGGTTCAACCCCCAGGACCAAAAAAATAACACATATATAAAATAAATAAGAGAGTAAATATGCTGTGTTTCTATAGGCATATTAATCCTAAAATAGGTTTCATTTATATGTGACAGAGAGCAGAGACTGTGAAAATAAATGGGCAGGATTTTACACAATCTGTGCCTTGGGCAAACAAAGGAATAAGATGAATGGGAAAAGGCAAGCAACGTTTTATAATCATGACATCAAACAGTAAATTTAGCTATATGATAGATTATTTTTAAGACATCACTTTAAAAATAAATTACCAGCCTCTAAATTATCTACAGAAGATCTTCCTTCTTTCACCTTTATTCACCACAACCCCTATTCGAATTCTTTATTATGAGTAACATTTTCAGTAGTTTACAGCTTAAAAAGTACTGTCACTTATGTCATCCCTCCTCTGACTTGGTCGACTGGTTCCCATCAACAACAAAAATAATCACCAATTCAGAGGCTAGAGCTCAAGGATTGGTAAGACCTAAGAACTGACACTGCCATAAATTTAGATTATTGCTACTACATAGGAGGTTCTATGAAGAGTAATTGCTCATTTGATCTTTTAGGGCTACTGGAATTATTGACAGCAGTATACAATAAATCAGCAGGAAGTATATTTCAGTTCATTTTGTTCCTATTTTTTATCAACTGTTTTTTTCTGAATATGCAATAATTTTAAATGGAATTCAAAAATTTAAAAAAGTAGAATACTGATTATGCATCTTAAGTGCTAATTTAGGGGCTAGAGAGATAGCACAGTTGATAAGTGTTTGTCTTGTACACAGCTGACTTAGTTTTGCTCCCTGGCACTGCATATGGTCCCCTAAGCACCACCAGGAGTAACTCTTGAGCACAGAGCCAGGAGTAAGCTCTGATCACTGATGGATGTGTATCCCCCCAAAAAAGAGTGAATTAAAAACTTGTAACTGTATGATAAAGCTTTGTGATATAGATTCAAGAATTCTTAACTGTTTGAATTCCTGGGGACCATTTAGCAGTTTGAACACCCGAGAAAAAGTCTTCAATTATATAGCATGAAATATACAGAATTCCTGAGAAAATTAATTATATAAAACTAAATTCATATTATTTATATTATTTTTAAACACACTAAATCACTACACTTGATCTTAGCCAAAAGGCCGAGGGGCTGGATCGATAGCACAGCATGTAGGGCATTTGCCTTGTACGCGGCGGGCCCAGCAGAGCCATGTTCGATTCCTCCGCCCCTCTCGGAGAGCCCGGCAAGCTACTGAGAGTGTCTCCCCCGCATGGCAAAGCCTGGCAAGCTACCCGTGACGTATTCGATATGCCAAACACAGTAACAACAAGTCTCACAATGGAGACGTTACTGGGCCCGCTTGAGCAAATCAATGAACAACGAGAGGACAGTTTTACAGTGCTACACTAAATCATAAGAACCAAGAGTGGTCCTAGTAACTGTTGACACTTCAAAGTAGTGATGGAAGCAAAATATATTTCATAATATCTGCAATAAGAGTAACATGATAATAACTAAAACTTTATTGTTGACAGAGCAACAAATACTGCTGGCTCTCCTGTGGCTTATTTATTACCTACAATCAGAACAGAAAAAAATTATATTTCAGTTTAAGATGTACCATTCTTCTCAAATAAATTTGCAAAGCATAGATTAAGAAGCCATGGTTTAGTACAAAGAAGAAGGGCTTTGGAATTGAGATAACCAATGCTGATAATTTCACAAGACTTTGCCGAATTTCTTTATCACACTTTAAAATGTGTGAAGTTGAGGTTGGGATGGGGAAAATCTGGTGAAATTTCAGAATTGCCTAAGATTATATGTAAAGGTTGGAATGAGCATAAATTAGGCATAGAGAATATAGCAACTATGAAGGAGGAGAATTTGCCACTCTAAAATAAGTCTCTTTGGTATTTTTGGTATAAGGGTTCTCTGGGTGTATTATTTCTAAGAAATAGAAGACCAGGAAGTTTTTCTTTATTTCTTCCCTAACTCTTAATTGCCTAAAACAATGTAGCTAGGGGACCTATAGTAATACTAATAGCCAGAAGAGAGCTATTACTAGGAATATGAGCTAGGTGTGGAAGACAAAGAAGGTGGGGTCTCTGTGGGAGGGCAGACTTATCAAGGCCTAGCAAATTTTTTCCATTAAACATTGGACCTTCTCACCTTCCTATAATTTATTTTCTTCCTTCCCCCTAGTAATCCCAGATCTCTACCCGCATCTGCCTAGCTCAGGAATAAACCTCATTTGTCTGTTAGGGTGCTTCATATTTTGTGGCATTCCCATGCAAATATACATTAATCTGGCTTTCTCCTGTTAATATGCTTTATGCCAATTTATTTGAACAGATCAAACAACTTATAAAGGTAGGAAAAAAATCCCCCCAATACAAACATTCAATAAATGGTAGCTATCATTTTATTTAAACATTATAGCAGAATACTTAGCAAATGAAGACAACCATTCTACCATACTTCATAAAGAAAACAACCCACAGTTAAGTTTATTCTTTCCCCTTTTCTCTATGTGTTGACTGATTTGTTATGTTGTTCAAATTACAGTTGATCTCCTATTAAGGATGCATGAATAAAAAATGTTAATGAAATTCCTACACAATAGATATTCATAAAAAGGAGTTACATATGACTTCATTAATGCTTTATTCCTTCAGAGCACATACACAAATACTGAAAAGGGTATATTGTATATTTTTTGTTTAACATTAGATACTAGATAACTTGGTTTGTGGAGGTCTTTCTGAAAAAAGTGGCTTTTGACTAAAGGTCTGAATGAAGTAAGGGAGCTAGGAGATATATAGAAAATAAGTATTATAGGTGAAGAAAAACAAAGACTCAAAGGCTCTAATGTAGATTTTACCTAGCACCTTAACAGAGTAACAATAAAGCCACTGTGGTGAAAATGAACCTGGGGGATGAAGAGTCGGGAATAGTATTAGAGATTCACACTGTCACTGTCACTGTCCTCCCGTTGATCATCGATTTGCTCGAGTGGGCCCAGTAACGTCTCCATTGGAGACTTTGTTGTTACTGTGTTTGGCATATCGAATACGTCACGGGGAGCTTGCCAGGCTTTGCCGTGCGGCGAGATACTCTTGGTAGCTTGCTGGGCTCTCCGAGAGGGGCGGAAGAATCGAACTCGGGTCAGCCATGTTGGCTGCATGCAAGGTAAACGCCTTAGCCGCTGTGCTATCGCTCCAGCCCAGTATCAGAGAATAATGGGGGAAAAGACCATGAAAAGCCTTTATTTCATGGGACAGACTTTGGCTTTTACTATGAGTGCTATGGAAAGCCAATGGATTATCTTGAACAGAGCCCTGTCATAGTATGACATGATATACATCATAAAAGCAAATTTAAGAGATTACAGTAAGACACAGAAGCACTCCTAATCAAATCAGTATGAAAGCATGGATGTTTACTATATCTATTATTATTGAACACTGATGCTGACTCATGCAATAGGAAACAAACACACAAAACAGAGTATATGAATTAGAAAGGAAACCACAAAATTACAACCAGCTACAGATAATGTATGTGTAATTAGCAAACCTAATGGAGCCTAATGAAAAATTAACAGAGTAATGGAGTTCAATAAAGTGGCCAGACATATTATGATATTCATAAAAACTAAGATGTTTATAAGGCATACAGAGATGGATATGAAAGAAATGTATTTTAGACTGCTAAACTGTAACAAATGTATATTTTTAAAAACTTTCAGAATAATAGTTATAAACCTATAAATACAGTGGCAGAAGATATTCTATTCAAAATAAAACTGAATATCTGTGCCTATTTTGTTTGTGGTAGTGGAGATTGCACATGTACCGAGTATCCATCACTCAAAGATTGGTTATATTAATTAGCTAAACATCTTTAGTGAAAATTCACTAAACATCTTTAGTGAAAAATTACATAACCATTAGAACAATGAGATACATCTATACAAATGGAAATAAAGCTTGTCCCTTAAAAATATTCATTTCTAGCAATGTGACTTCTGGGGTAAGTTTGTGTCTACCCACCCCACAGCCGAGGGATTCACATCTGCTGATGTCAATATTAAAACCTCCCAACCAGATGTGGTGAAGAGAATTGGGAAGCTGTATCTTCCTCTCAGCCGGCCACAGGAGACAACTCTCCAACCCTAGTAGCCACACCAAAACCCCAAATTGAATTACACTCCTTAGCACACATACTTTATGGGCAGGTAGAGAATGATCGAGTCTTAATTTAGTGACAGAATACTCACATAAACACCTGATAACTAAGCAAGAGGAACTAGATCTATACCCCTCCCTGTACACTCAAATACCATTACATTTTAATGAAAATAGCCTGAAAAAGAGGCATAAGCAGTATCCGGTATTCATAAATAGATCAGATCAGTACTCAGTTAACCAGGAATCCAAAGCTCCACTTTTGGTGCCCATAAAATTTTTGGTACAATGGGGAAAAAAGGAACTCAGCTACACTGGCTGCACAGAAGTCCAGGCAAGTCCTTAAGTTCATGAAAATTCTTGAGCCTGGTTGAGGAGTACCTCAAATCAGCACTCTCTGTGATGGCAATGGAAATTAAGCAATCAGTGGAAGATAAACCTCAATCAACTCAAATAAAAATTGATTGATTCAGAGGGTGAAAGATTCCATAAAAATGGAATTCAAGGAACTGAAGAACATAATAGCAAGTCATAGTCACAGAATTTTGAATGTGGAGAACCATATTAGTGACCTTGAAGACAAAATAGAAACCAGCAACTATAATGAAGTGGCAAAAGAAAAGCAAAGTAAAAGAAGAGAAGTGAATGTAATGTACTTATTCAATAATAGCAAGAGGATTCATTCCAAATTACAAGGAGAAGAAAAAGAGAAGGGAGAAGAATGATTTATGGAAGAAGAAATAGCTCAGAACTTGCCCAGACAAACCAAACTTAAAAAATGTGCCCGCTAAGGAGGGAGGCTGGTGTGGGGGTGGAGTGGGAGTGAAACTAGAGACATTGGCAGAGGGAAGTTGACACTGGTAATGGGACTGGTATCGAAACATTGTATGCCTGAAAATCAACTATGAATAACTTCATAAATCGGTCACGGTCATGGTCCTCCTGTTGTTCATTGATTTGCTCGAGCAGGCCCAGTAATGTCTCCATTGTGACACTTGTTACTGTGTTTGGCATATCCATACATGACGGGGAGCTTGCCAGGCTTTGCCGTTTGGGCGAGATACTCTCGGTAGCTTGCTGGGCTCTCCGAGAGGGGCGGAGGAATCGAACTTGGATCAGCCATATTGGCTGCGTGCAAGGCAAAACGCCCTACCGCTGTGCTATTGCTCCAGCCCCAACTTCATAAATCATGGTGACTTAATATCTTTTAAAAACTAGATTTTTTGTTAATAAAAAACCTTTCATTTATAGGGGAAAAAACTATGGTACAGGGGCCAGAGCAATAGTACAGCAGATTAGGCACCTTTTTTGCACATGGCCAAGCCAGATTTGGGTTCTATCCCCAGCACCCATATGGTCCTATCCCCAGCATCCATATGGTCCTCCAAGCCCAACCAGGAGTAATCCCTGAGGGCAGAGCAGGAGTAAGCCCTGAGTGTGGCTCAAAAAACAAAACACACACAAAACCCCAAATAAACAAACAAAAATAAATTATGGTACATATACTCAATGGAATACTACTCATCTCTAAGATGAAATCGTGTAATTTGCTTCTACATGAATGGGTCTTGAGAGTAGCATGCTAAGTTAATCAGAGGGAGAGAAGCAGACACAGAATGACCTCTCTCATATGTGGGGTATAAAGCAAAAAGGTAGGGGTATAACAATTTCGCCAAGGAAAGAAACAATAATAAAGAATTGGTCTACAATAGGAAGTTTTCTACAGGTAGCTTAGCATGGGGTGGGGGACACTGGGGCAATGATGGATGGAAGTGGACACTGTGGAGGAGAGAGTGGTGCTGGATTGTATTATGCATGAAATCCAATCATGAACAGCACTATAAACCACAGTGTCTAAAATAAATTAAAAAAATTAATTTTAAATGTTAAAAATTTAAGCTATAAATATTATATTAGTGCTGTCATACACACAAATAGGATATTAAAATAAATATGCACATAGAACATAGATAAGTGAATATGCATTTATACACAGACAATGTCTGGAATGAAATAAATAAAAATTTTTGTAACAATAGTGAACACTTACATTAAGTTATTATGTGCCAAGCACTGTTCTAAATATAAATGAGGACATTATGCTAAGTGAAATAAGCTAGTCACGGAAGACAAATACTGCATGATAACATTTATTTGAGATAGGTGCAGTGGCCAATTCAAAGAAGCAGAAAACACTGTGGTGGTTGCCAGGGACTGGGGGAGGGGAAAATGAATTGTTGCTCAATGAACACAAAGTTGGTTATATAAAATGATTAAACAGATCTAGAGACCCACTGCACAACTTTGTAACTACATCTATGGTATCATGCATTTTTAAATGTTTTGAGGATAGCTTTCAGGTTAAGTGTTTTTTAAAAGATATATAAATTTATATACCTTTTGACCCAGGAATTCCACTTCCAGTGATTTGTCTTTCAAATATACACATACATTTGCAAGAGGATACTTATATAAGGTTATTCATCATAGCATTATTTATAAATATTGGAAACAATCCAACTATATCTTTCTATATGCAGATGTTTAATAAATTCTGCTTCATTTATACCATGAAATAACAAGGGATATGAAAAAATAAAAAGTACTGTATATACCAGTTTAGGGTGATTGCTAAGACAGAAAGGCTGCCATTTGTATAGAACAAAAGGGACAACACTACATAAATAGGCTTATTAGCTTGAATCTACACCGATCTCTGGGCAGGGGGAACTATAGAAGTTGATGACACTGTTTCCTGAGAAATGGACTAAAATTCTAGAGAATATAGTTGAGGTATGTCTTTTGCACTTTTTAAATTATGTGACTCTATTACATATTCAGAACATTAGTGAGATGAAAATAAGGAAAAATATGTGTGAAGACAGCTGACCTTTGGGCTCGGTAGATATATTTAGAGTTTCCTGTGAGTCTGTACAGCAGCAGGAAGACGTAGGCACTGCCAGCTACGCCATGGCAAATTCCTGGCCCCTTCTTCAGCAGGCCCTTCTGCCATGTGAGTTCTCCACACCGAATGCATGTGTCCAGGTACTGTGGTTTCTTGGAAACCAGATAAGCCTTGGCAAAGAGATAGGCAATTCCTGAGAAAACATGACAAACATGAGAGGTGACTCTTGGGGTTAAATACAATAAAGGTGAACATCTCAAACTGTAAAACATTCACAAACCATCTCTGTGCTATTGTTAAAATATCTGTTCTAATCTGGTAAATCTGGGGTGGGAACTGAGATATTGCTGCATTTGTAACAAATGTCCTTCCTAGAAAAACATTTTGAGTGGCAAGGATATAGAAACTTCTATAAGAGATTATTACTTAATCTATGAGATTTAGTTTTAGTTGTTGGAATTGATGATGGTCCCCAAAGAATTAAAATATACCATCTACAAATGGATTAATATTTAACATGTGTACTTTGGTCAACAAGGTGCATATCTGTCTTCTTATATGACAAAATGTTTATAGTTTGCCCATTGCACCCACGAAAGTTCAGAAGTTGTAATGTTTAAATACTTATAACTATACACTTTTTCTTAAGAGCAAAACTGGGAGTGCGTTCAAAACCAACAATGATTCCAAACGACCTGGCCAAGACTTCTCTCTGTGAAATAAGTTCTTCTCAACTTGATTATGTCAAGGAAGGACATTCTCTTTCAAAACTCCTCGACAAAGGTAATTACACAGGCAGGAACAGAAAAAAAAGTGACAGCTCTTAATAGAAACAATTTTCCCCAAGTTCCAGGTGCTTATATTCAGGAAGATTAGTAATACAACATCACTCTTGCTCTTGTGCATGCTACCGTTCTCCTATATAAAAACTAGAAAGGACTTGAATTTAGTAGGTATCTTAACTAGCTCATCCATCAGGCTTACTCTTTCATTGTCTTTGACAAGACTATTTTACAACTCTGTAGAGACTGAAATTACCTTGCCAAAAACTGATAATAATGCAAATAATCCTTGTCTCTAGAGACCCACATCCTGGCTAGTAGAAGTTGGATTGACTCCCCTCAGTCTGTGCAAAGAAGCCAATTTTGAAGCTGTTGATAAAATTCATGTCTACTCTTGTAATAATCCTAAATATGTCTACACTTCAGGGTTTCCTTTGAATCAGTCCTAACACCTTTTTAAAAATTCCTTCGTCTATCAATAATCTAAAACATTCAGTGACATGTTGATTTTATATTTTATGAAAGACATGCAGTTATTCTCTATTTAAAAATTATACATTAACGCTCTCTATGATCAACACTTACAAAACAAAAGGTTCTTTTCTCCATCGGTTGCTATCAAGTCAACCAGTGACAATGGTCACCTATAGCATTGTCCTTGTGTTAGGAACAAGGTGTCTCCAACAAACAAAAGAATGATTTTAAAAGAACTGAACCTAAATTACTAGATTACTCATTCACCATATTGATTTATTTTATGCTACAGAGGTCCCCAAACTTGTGGTTAGCACTAGGCAGGACAGGTTTCCTGGGCATTTGTGCTTTAGAAGGATCCCATGCTGGGTGTTATGCTCTGTTGTTGCCTTCTCAAAATTTAACCATATTTTAAATAGGGTATGAATTTTCATTTTATACACAGTCCTACAAATTAGGTGGCCAGTACTACTCTTGGGAGGTAACAAAACTAAATATAACTCCTGTCACTCTAGAAGGCATGGGATAGAAAGGGGAAAAAACATGTATATGTGATTGATATGGCATGTGACCTGTGACTCATGATACTATTGGGGCAAAAAAAGAATGGTACTATCAGTAATACTAGAAACTTGTAGGATGTATAGAAAACTTCAGGCCTAGGAAGAGATGGCGAGCACATCCTAGCTACAAATATTTGGAGCTAGGACAAACAAGTCACTGAAAACCAGTGGGGCAGGATTCAAACCAATGAGATAATGGGGTGGATTGGCTTCCCATTATGGATGGCTTTGCAAGTCCACTTAGGCAGCTTGTACTATATTCTGTTAGGCAACAGAGAACCAAGCAGCAGTGTTTTTGTTGGGGATTGAATGGATTTCATGTTTTATGATTTGATTGGCATTGCAGATAAAATGTCCAATAGTGGTGTTCAAAGAGACCCAAACACAGGAAAGGAGCAATAGTTTAATGGGTTGTTTTTTATTTTTATTTATTTATTTATTTATTTTTGCCTTTTAGGCAGCTGACTCAGGTTCCATCTCAGGCAGGCTATATGGTCCCCAAAGCACTGCCAGGAATAATTCCTGAGTACAGAGCCAGGAATAATCCCTGAGCTTTGCTGGATGTGCCCCGCCCCCCCACACCTCAAAAGAAGGGCGACTTGGTAGCTATGAGCTGATTCTGTTGGCAAAAAGATGGCAAAGAGGTTCATGAAGAATAGTTCAAAGAATTTGGTGGCTGCTTAAATACTGAGTACCAATTAAAAAATCAGGCACGCTAGTATGTACAAATATTTCTAAAATCTCTTCATGGTATTTACAGCATGACAGAATGCATTAAGTAGGCTACATGAAGGGAAACAGGTTTTGTGGATGTGTACAGAAGGCCAGTGACCCACTCTAAGAGAGAGGTAAGGTCCATGATGCCAGTGGAAACATGAACCTGAGTACTTCAGGGTAAGGAGAAATTTGCCAGGCAAACTAAAGGCCCTCTGTACTCAGACAGTTCCCTTTATCTAACTGGCTATTGCTCCAACTTTTACGTTGTTATGAGCTGCTAACAAAGCTCACAGCTTTCCCCTCTTTAGATTTGCCTTCAGTCAAAATCAGAGGCTACATTGCACACCCTACCTTTGGAGATTTTGGCCAACAACTAATACATGTTGGCTCCTGTCTCCAAAAGGTTGGCTCTCTCCTGTCTTCAGGCTTCATGATGTGGTCATTTCCTCTTGTGCCTCCCTTCAGAATCTGGGCAAGTCAAGTTTCCAGATGAGAAACACATTTGTTTTTCACCCTTGCTCTATCCTGCCTCCCTATTCCCCGACAGGTTCCTCCCCAGATTTGGCTCTGCTACTGGACACCTGGCAAAGAACAGGTGGTGGGCCAGAGAGATAGTACAGTGGGTAGGATATATGCCTTGCATTTGGTCAACCTGGGTTCAATCCCCAGCACCCCATATGGTTTCCCAGAGCCTGCCAGGAATGATCCCTGGATGTAGAGCCAGGAGTAGGCTCTGAGAACTGCCAGGTGTGGCTAAAAACCAAACACCAGCCCCTGACAAACAAAAAAAAATCTCCAAAGAACTGGTGAAAGAGGGAAGTGCTCCAGCCAGGGAAAATTGGCCAGGTACAAAGGCCCAGCTCTCATTGAGCTCAAGGTTGAGTCACCACTTGTATAGATAACTGCTCTAGCTTCCTATACTGAGGTCTGGCACCCCTCGAATTAATTCTGCAGCAGAGTGATGAGACCTTTCTAAGATGATAATCTAACTATGTCACTCCTCTGCTTGAACCAACTGAAAATGACTTCCTATTATCCAGTTGCCTTAACATGACACACAAAGCCTTCTGTGACCCACTCTGTCTCCAATCTCTTCTCCGTTGCCGAATTGAAGCCTTTTCCTTCAGTAAAACCAGAACATTTGCTTTTCCCTTACTTCATCACATGGTTCCATGCCTCTTACCACCCATGTTCACTTCTCCTGGGGCAAACATTCTACGTTTCTAGGTCTAACTAAATTACTTCAGGCAATTACTTCTTCAGGAATCCTGAACTGCACCCAGAGGAGCACCAGAAAGCCATCCTTTGAGGTTACATTTCTCCCTACACAAGGCTTTTGCACTTATACTGTATCATTAAAATTAGCAGAATACATATTTACCTCTTCTAGTAGAGTACAAACTAACCAAAGGCAGGATTTTTTTCTTGTTCATATATTTGTTCCCTATTGCCTCTAGATTGGTGTTTCACACATGGAAAGGGATCCACAAATGGCTAATGACCCTAGAATGTCTCATTTCTCACCACAGAACCAACTGACACTGAAGTGGAGATGAGAGATGTGAGGAAGAAGAGATGATCTTCAGGAAAGATGATTTATTCGATATGCCAAACACAGTAACAAGTCTCACAATGGTGACATTACTGGGACCGCTTGAGCAAATGGATGAACAATGAGAAGATAGTGACAGTGACAGTGACTATATCTTCAGTATCAGGCAACTCAAGAGGTTCTGATCTTGTGTTTTGGGCCAAAGAAAACTAGTCCAAGTCCTGCAGCCTTATATGCCTGGTAAACCACAGAATGGTACATTAGGGACCTTGAGAAACTGCTGAATCTACTGCCTCACAACCTGTTCTAATCCATAATCTGGTTGCTTAATTGAAAAGGGAGGACTTTGGTGCTTCTTGGCTTTTTATAGGAACCATATCATTTTGTCATGGGAACACTAATCATTGTCATTGATAACAGTCAGCAGTGATGTATGTCTTCACAAAATACAATTGGGGAAAAGAAATTAATTATCGCTTAAGATATATGGCTTAATAAATTTATTCCTTGAAAATGTGATTTTAGCTAGCCTTGATATGTCAGCCTGACAGTTTCAATATCCTGGAGAATTCTGGGATCTTTAACATCACCGAAGCACACAGTGTGTTCTTAAAGTTTACTGACCACTGACACCTGCACAGCACAAGCCCTTGTTGGGTTCTATTCAAAGTCATCTACCCACGAGTCCTGATGGAATGAATTTTGAAAACTAGCCACACCTGTGTTTCACAGCATAAAGGAAATGCACTGTCAGTGTTACCACAGTAATGATGAATAATATTGCAACTAAGAATTTATTTTAGCTACAGCAATTGTTTTAATGATTTTAAAAAATGACTTTCATCCTGTATTTCCGAATCATTAAAGCTATGAAGGGGTCATATGAATCTCTCACTATACATCACTGCATTTAGTAAGAAAAATGATACACCACACCAAGTATTAAATAATGTGGGCATTTGCAATTTTTTTTGGTACACAGCTCTCATAAATGCAAAGGTCTGCAGGGCAAAAAGGGGTCTGTGGTGATACAAAGATATGAGTCTCACTACTCTATTGCAATGAGTCAATAAAGAAACAGAGGCACAAAAGAAACCAAGTGGTTTACTCAAAAATCATGTGGCTAGTTAGTGTTTGAGTTACAATTAGAACCCAGATGCATTAATTGAGAGTCAAGAACTCTGTCTGCACTGCCTAAATGATAACTAAAGCTGTCGCCTGAAGAGTGGGTTGATGGAAAATCAACAGGAATCAATCACAGGGAGAAATGAGGTGTCATTGATGAAGCTCCATGTTGTAGATGGTCTCTGGCAGGTTTTCAATCACAGGATCAGTCTGCTGCCCCAAACCATCTGTGCTGTTCATATATCTACTCTCAATAAAGGTTTTTCCCAAACAAGAGAAAATGATTTTGCTAGGTTCTCTTCTGTTTTAGAGATATTTGAGAGTTTACTGTTGCCAACTTCAGAGGGATCCTGATGATTTTCGACCTGCACTTAGAAGATTTATAATCTCTTGATACTATTTTTAGCACATCCCTTTAAGGGAAGATCAATACCCTTAAAGGTGGAAATGAAGGTTGGCAGCAATAAGGGCCTCATTTGGTATTTTAAAATACATTTGTGAATTGGTTTATTTTTGGCAGTCCAGTGAATGTGTAGGTTGAATGATTCTGTTTGGAAGCTATGTTTCATCTTAGCAAGATATTAATTGCAAAGGATGCAGGAGGTTAAATCAAAGTGTCCAAGGTGATGAATCCTGTGCTGTACTGTTATGGTATGTGAATTCCAAAAATAGATGACATATAAAAGTATATGGAATAACTATCCTTCAAGATACCTATATCATTTGGGGACCAGTGAGTTTGAATCACACCTGACTGTTCTCAGGGCTTAAACCTGACTCTGTGCTCAAGGATCACTCCTGGTGGTGCTCAGGGAACAACAGTTCGGGAAATCAAACCTGGATTGGATGCATGCAAGGCAAGTATCCTACCCACTGTACTACTTCTCTGACCCACCCACATCTTTAAACTGACTCAATCACACATTTAATAATCTACCTACTCTTTCTAGGGCTTCTACTAGCACTTTGATTCTAAAAAATAGTCTTTAATTTGGGACATCTCCAGAATTCAAGGATTCCGGGGAGCTTGGAAGATGACCAGAGACCATCCATAGAAAATCATTGAAGAGTCTCTAGAAAATGGAAGTGTTGAGGATAATATGAAGATATTTCATTTCTATGATCGTAAAGAATTTGTTTTTCTCTAAAAAGTTCAAAGCAAATAGAAATAGGCTCCAATTATAATTGGCAGGAGTTCACCTGAGCATAAAGCACAATGTTTGGCACTGGTACAAGCACATACAGGAGCCTTTGAAGTCCCTTCTTTTGGTAAATGTGGCAGGCAAAGAAAATAAGGCCAATGGACTAAGACTTCCATTATTCATGAACTCAAAGTGTACCCATGGAAGAAAATGAAATTACAGTGGGATTAAAGCACATTAATTAGGTAAGGAAGCAAAAGGAAGTAATACAAATCAGGTAAGAAACTAAAGAGAAATCAAATGTATTTTAAAGCTGTGCTCACTGCATTGAAGCATAATATTGAAAATGAAATCCACTCCTAATCCAAAGTGTTTGTGTTATTTTGGTATTTTATCTCTTTCCCCTGGTCAATCAACCAAAATTAGTTTATCTGAATTTAACTTCTGAATTATCCCTTTCCTGGGGGCACTGGAATTAAGAGGAAAATGTGGTGGCAGGGGAATGAGGTCTGATAGAATTCTAGGCTAGAAAGAGTTCACTATACATGATTTTATGTTAGATTTTATATTAGGTGATGATGGGGATCTGCATTTGAAGAATTATAGAACAGTTTATTTAAGCACTTACTGTGCATACAAATTGATAAGGAATCTTATTAAAATGTATATTCTAATTAAAAGGGTCTGCATTAGAGCCTATAATTCTGTATTCTAATAAGCTCCCAGGCAGCTCAGGCTCTTATTCTGTGGACTATATTTTTAACTATTAAAACTGTTTAGGCTCCAGATATACACTGTTTAATGTAGCTATTGAGTACTTGCAAAATAGATGAATTGAAATGGGATGCAAACTAAAATATGCATGAAATATCAAAGAATTCCCGTGAAAAATAAAACCACTCCATATAAAATAATTGCATATTGAAATAATATTTTGTGTATATTGGGCTATAATGTATTACAAAAATCAATTCAACCTGTTTCTTTATGTTTTTAGTGAGGGTACTGAAATTTAAATTTGATGTGGGAATCTTATTTTCCATGGTCAGTGACAGTTGAATTTATGTATAAACAGACATTGGAGCAAATAGTTTTTTTAATGCAGGACAAATTTCTGAATGTCCTTTTTATATTGAGAATTTTGGGGCTTTGACAAGTTTCATCTTGACCCTTTTAAAAAAATATCATTATTCATGACACAGAACAAAAAATACCCTCAGTTCTCAAAAATAGCACCTCCCTCCTTGGATAAAACTGATGGAAGGCAATGTTCTCAGATAATAGTATGTATGAGACCTGGGGCACCATGACACCAGTGCACGAGCTCATTCTCTCTCTCGATGGCTTCACCCAGTTCAGGTGGCCAGTTGCAGTTCTGTTCCTGCTCCATAAGGAAATCCACACTCTGCCAAACCAGCTCCTGATCAGAGGGCTTCAGGTGCTCATGATAAGAAAGAAGCATCTGGAGAATGGATGACAGGCCATGAGCTGCTCCTATTGGACAAACAAAGTAAAATTAATTCACTCAACAGGGAGGAGAGTTGGTCTGATTTAGTGAAAATATAATCAAAACATTAATGGCCATATTTCTTAAAAGTACACAGAGTCATGTAATAATTGAATTCCACAATAACTGTGTTTCTGGGGGAGTACACATTAGAGCAGAAGTTGAAAAACTTCAGCATGCAGACCAATTCAGATTCACTGCCTGATTTTTAATATAGAAGTCTTATCCGAGATTATTACTGTGGGTTAGTCACCCCATTATTAAAAATTGAATCACCATGAGATATGCAGTTACAAAGTTGTTCATGATTGAGTTTCAGTCATACAATGTTCAACACCATCCCTTCTCAGTGCACATTTCCTGCCACGAATGTTCTTAGTTTCCCTCCCTCCCATCTCCCTCTGCCCCACCCCTGCAGTCAGCCTCTATGGAAATTGCTTTTCTTCTCTCTCTTTTACTTTTAGGCACTGTGGTTTGCAATACTATTAGGAAAATGTATCATGCATGTCACTTTATCTCCTTTTGGCACTCACTCACTGCCTGTTTTTTTTATAAATAAAGTTTAACTGGAACACAGTTATGCTCATTTGCTTGTTACCTAGGTCTGTGTTTGTGTGATAGTGGCAGTGATCTATGTATAACAGAGAACACTATGACTGAAGAGACTTACCAGGCATTATTCATTCTTTTTTAAAAAATGAGTTTTATGTCAGGCTCATTTTAGACAAAAGTTCTTTTTGAACTTTTGTTTGTTTTGGAGCCACATCTGGTGATGCTGGACTTAATCCTGGCTTTGTACCAAGGAATCACTCTAGGTGGGCTTGGGGACTAGTGTAGTGCTGGGTGCCAGATATTGAACTCTGGCCGGCAAAGTGCAAAGGAGTCACCCCCATGAACCAACTCCAGCTCCCTCATGTAAGCTCTTCTATCGGCCTTGCTTCAGAGACCCATAAATAAATCTTGAAAGAGATCAAAAGTCATAGTTAATCTTGGACCCATGCAAGGCTGAACAGACTGGGGTAAATTGGAGGGGGGAAGGGTCAGTCTGGTGCCCGCCCAAGCAGAGCCCTTGGCAGTCACTTGTTTCCACAATCCAAAAGCACTGCCGTGCCTCCTGCTGAACTCTGCTGTCTCAGGACGGAGCTCACTGAGATATAATTTGCTGAAAATTCAGGTCTGCGTGTTTTGTGGCTGAAATCTTCAGGCATTCTCAGGGTCAGGATGTGCTACTTCCCTCCATCTCCCTGTACTTCCGGAAGTCTCAGTAGTCACATTCACACCCCAAAGCTGACACCCAGTTGAAAAGCTATTCTAGCCTTACCTACCCGATAAAAATGCTGAACGCCCTGACCAAACACAATAACCACTTAGTACCTGTATTGTAAACCATAATGCACAAAAGGAAAAGGAGAAAGAGAGAGAAAGAAGAAAAGTGCCTACCATAGAGACAGGCTGGGGTGGGGAGTGGGGTTCTAGGGGATGGTGGGAGGGAAACTGGGACACTGGTGTTGGGAAATGCACACTGGTGGAGGGATGGGTGTTGTATTATTGTATAATTGAAACCCAATTATGAACAGATTTGTAATGGTCTATTTCACAGATATTCAATAAAATTTTTTTTAAATGTAATGTGGAGTTCATGCACACTTCAATCAGCTTATCAGTGGTGGAACAAATAGCAGTACTTCCACATTTAAAAAAAGTGCAAGAGAAGACCCCTACCCTCTCTTTTACTGTTCCACCCCCTTAACATTTTCTAATTAACATACCAATAGTTTTTATGGAAATATTGCTAATTTAGAAATAATTTATTCTAAGTAACCCAAATATGGGCTAGAGCAAGAGCACAGCGGGTAGGGCAGCTTGCATGCCTTGCATGCAGCCAACATGGCCTACCCGAGTTCAATTCATCCGCCCCTCTCAGAGAGCCTGGCAGGCTACCGAGAGTATCCCGCCCGCACGGCAAAGCCTGGCAAGCTCCCCGTGACATATTCGATATGCCAAACACAGTAACAAGTCTCACAATGTTACTGGGCCCGCTAGAGCAAATCAATGAACAATGGGAGGATAGTGACAGTGACAGTGATCCCCAAAATAACATTCATTCTGCATGTAAGCACCAAGAACCTACTGTACGTCCCCAAGGTATTGAGGACAGATCAGTGAACAAAACAGACTTAATGTTGCCTTAGGTTAAATTTAAACATTAGTAACTGACATTAGTTCACTTAATTTGTCACATCTAATACTCATATATTGGATACAGTCTAAGCCTAGGGGATACATAGGTGAATATAACTTGATCTGTAGCCTTACGGTTATGGACTAAAAAAAAAGACTTTCCCATCCAGTGCAGTGAAAAAAGTCAGATTTGTAAATTAATCATTAGAACATGAGGTTATAAATTACTCTATAGAGACATGTAACAGGAGTTAAAAGAGAACTGAGGAATGAGTGCTGAAGTTGGCCTCAGAGTGAAGGGGGCAGTGGAATTACCACACAGATGATATCCGAACAAAGTCATGAAGAATTCCTAGGAGAGGGTACTGAACTAGCCACAACCAGAGCTTGACTTTTGAGGAGTTATCTTAACAAAGGAAAAAATCAGTCCTAGCTCAATAGAAATTTTAACTGATTTTTCATTCATAGAATCCTAACTGGCACATGGTATTCTAAGGACTTACTGTTTAAACTTAACTGTATTTAATATTAAAGCATACTCTTTGTTCTCAGGCATTCAGAACTTTTATGTCCCCAGAAAAAGCTTTATGGTTGTATGCAGTCAAAAATTCTTTTCTTGGTGTTCCACACCCTTCTCCCTGCCTCCTTTTTCTGCAACTCACACTTTTTGTTTGAACATTTATTTAAATAAAACTATTTTACTTCACTTAAAAATTATATTCTAAGAGAGCTGCCACAAGATCCAGCAATTCTACTTCTTGGCATCTACCCCAAGGGCCCAAAAACTATTCAGAAAAGCCACTTGTGCTCCTATGTTCACTGCAGCACTGTTAACAATAGCCCAAACCCGGGAACAACCCAAGTATCAGAGAGAACATCTGGATAAAGAAATAATTCCTGAGAACACCTGGATAAAGAAATGATAGTTCCATATGCACAATGCACCACTACTTGGCTTTAAGAAAAGATGAAGTCATTCAATTTGCTGCTATGTGGATGGATCTGGAGAGTATCATGCTGAGTGGTTATGCAGGAGAGGGCTAGAACAGAATGACCTGTCTTGTAAGTGGAGAGAAAGAAACAAAGTAGGGGTATGACAAATGCCCCAAAGCAACAGACTTTACAAGGGAGATTACTACAAAGGAGAGAAAAAAGTGGTTTAAGATGGTGGCGGAGGGCACTGACTGGGACAATGGTAGTGGGAAGTGGGCACTCTGGTGGAGGGTGTGGTGCTGAAATTTGGTAGGCATGAAGCCATCTCATTAACAGTATTGTAAACCACAATGCCTAAAATATTTTTAAATAGAAGTAGCTATCACAGATATTAAAAATAATGAATAACTATTAGTACTGAAGCACTAATATAGTACATTGGGTAGGGCACTTGCTTTGCATGTGAATGATTGCGGTTCAATCCCCGGCATCTCATATGGTCCCTAAGCATCACCAGAAATAATTCCTGAATAGAAAGCCAGGAGTAACCCCTGAGCATCGCTGTGTGTGGTCCCAAACCAAATAAATAAATAAATATTTAGAAAGGAAAAGGCACAATTGTAACAAAGACACTTTTGCTTGTTCAAGACTATACCAGACAAAGCCAGGGAAGGGAGATATAAAACTTGGAGGTAAAGCTTTGAAGAGGAAGCAGGAGGTGCTCAGGAGTGAAGAAATATTCAAAAAAGTAGTGGGAATTTTCACTTATCTGCCTCCTACTTCTAAGGTAACCATTGTGATTCCATAGTCTATTGTTAATATACTATTACACCTTTAAGATGTTACTGGTTGAATCCAGTTTGTTGTACAGAAGTACTATTTACACTGATTCCAAACTTTCTGCAAAATTCAGTCAATGTACTCACAATCTAGAAGAAGGATTAGTTAAAATAATTGCTAAAGTAGTTACACTCCTGTGACTATGAAAATAAATATTAAATTTTGATTTACAATATATATTAATTTTGCTTTGTTGAGAAACTTACAGAGGTCACAAAGATTTGGAAAACAGTATGGACGATTCTCAAAAAATTAGAAATTGAGCTCTCATTTGACCCAGCAATACCACTCCCAGGAATATATCCCATGGAGGCAAAAAAGTATAGTCAAAATGACATCTGCACTTGTATGTTCATTGCAGCACTGTTTAAAATAGCCAAAATCTGGAAAAAACCCAAGTGCCCAAGAACAGATGACTGGTTAAAGAAACTTTGGTACATCTACATTATGGAATACTATGCAGCTGTCAGAAAAGTTGAAGTCATGAAATTTACATACAAGTGGATCAATATGGAAAGTATCATGTTAAGTGAAATGAGTCAGAAAGAGAGGGACAGGCATAGAAAGATTGCACTCATCTGTGGAATATAAAGTAACAAAATGGGAGACTAAGACCCAAGAGTAGTAGAGATAAGGACCAGGAGGTCTGCTCCACAGCTTGGAATCTGGCCTCACATGCTGGGGGAAAAGGCAGATAGCAAAGGGAACACCAAGTAAAGGATGTTGGGAGGACCCATTCGGGTTGAAAGATGTATGCTGAAAGTAGACTATAAACTGAACACAATCGCTGCTCAATACCTCTATTGCGAACCACAACACCCAAAAGGTGAGAGAGACCAAAAGCGAATGCCCTGCCACAGAGGTGGGGTGGGATGGAGAGGACGGGTATGGGGTGGAGGGGGGGATGCTGGGACCATTGGTGGTGGAAAATGGGCACTGGTGGAGGGATGGGTACTTGATCATTGTATGACTGAAACAAAAGCACGAAAGTTTGTAAGCCTGTAACTGTACCTCACAGTGATTCACTAATAAAATATGATTTTAAAAAGCCTCCAAACATAAAAAAGAGTGTAAATATTTATATTTTAGAGTTACAATGTTACCTACCACACAACACCCACCATCAAAGTACTAATATCCCTCTACCACTGTACATCATATTTATTTTAAAACGAAATTTTAGACAAATCCTTGGTTTTGGATTACAAAATGATTCTAAAATTGAGTGGTTGTTGAGTAGGGGATAAAGATTGACTGGGGATGAGAGAGGAAGAGTTGTGGACGGTTATGAACACTTTGGTGCTTGTGAGACACAGTATCTGTGTATATCAATACCATAAACTTCAGCGGTATTATAACCATTTACCTAAACTATGATGTAAAAAGGAAAGAACAATATGAATTAAATAATAAAAGAATAAAGTAAAATGGCACTTTAAAGTATTCTTCGTTAAATAACTATTCATAACCTATGTCAAAACAAAACCTAGTTGCCTGAGATTCCCGGCATCCTCAGGCCTTTGCCAACATCTCCACTTACCCAAGTACTCAGTTCCGTAGTAAGAATACATAAGAGGGAATGGCTTCCGTTTCTTTATGGAATATTGCTTCCCAGAGTCCAGAATTGCCTGGCAAATTGATTTGATCTGTGCTGGGGTCAGTATCTGAGTAAGGAAATCAAAAAGAGAAGTCAAATCAGGATCATTCCCCCCTCATCCCCAGTCCCCCACAGACACTGTATTTTCTTGTTTGAAAAGTCCATCAGAATCTTTTTTCTATATGTAAATAAGCTTAGTCAACCATACTTTTTTCAACCTCTCATTCTCTCTCTTTGTTGCCACATTTATCTCCCCTCTTCAGAAATTTTGCTATTTTGATGAGAAATACACCTTTACTCCTCTTGGCTTTTATAAAATACAAAGACCACTTTTCGGCTGTTATATCATTAATCCTTGTCACAGGAACAAGAAATTGCTCAGAAAAGAACAAAGACTGGTCCTAACTAATCATGCTTAACAAAGTTGTTACTTCTGGCAGTCGGTGCAGCTCTGCCCCAGACAAAGGGTCTTCGATTTGTATCACTTAGACTGTGCTTATAAAGCCACAATTCTATGACAAGCTGCTGTGCAACAGACTCATTGTAGCCTATAGTTCTAAAACTGACTGCTGCTAGATTGAATAAAATATGGAAAACTGCAAATTGTTGTATGTTAGCCATTCTCTAGTCGGTCATTTTGCTCTTAAAAGTCATTTTTGCATTGGGCACTTTATTGTACTTTGGTTTTAGCACTATGGAGATTCAAATATTCTCCAGCCTACAAAATCCTCATTGAGTTTATTAGAATTCTGCTCAGGTTTGTGATGTTTTCTGCCTCTCCCTCTTCCTCGGGCCCAATTAGACACTTGCTTTGGCACACTCCCTGTATCAACACGATTCTCTGGTTTAGTGCTTACCATCTGGTGTGCTGTGTCATGCTGTACCAGGTTATCAGTTCTCTTATGGCAAAGATAGTTTCATCTCATAATGTTGGCACCCTTTATTTCTAACACAGAAACTGAGGTGACTTTTGGTGACTGATAATTGAACAAGTACCAGGTTTACTAGCATGAAAAACAGAGCTGACATCCCCTCTTTCCCTTACTTCTTTTCGCCCTCCCTGTTTCCCTTATTTCCACAGTGATTTCTTAAGACCCCACTACATGGGAAAGCTTGTTCTAGAATGCTGGTGGTATCACAGAAAATAAAATATATAAGATCTCTTCTCTCTAAAAATCAAGATACTAAAATGACAGAACTGGACAGTCACCTAAAGCTCAGGTTAGGTCTAACTAAATGAATCTGAATGGACTCGAGAGAATATTCATTGGATTTGGGGCTCTCTCCTAAGTCTCATACACAGAAATAATAATGTACTAATGCTCTGTTGTTAATTGCTCTTCTGATTTGCCCAGTGTTAGAAAGGTAAAAGTCTACAATTCAGTATTTAAAGTTCATGAGTCTGAGTGGAAAAACGTGTAATTCGGGGTGTGGAACACAGACAATGGCCAGCCTCACCTAGACTGCTTTCCCCTTATGTTTTATCTGGTTGCTCAGAACAACAATGCTATGGCTTTCTACTTAAATTTTTCTTTAACTGTTTATTCCTTTTTACCTAAAATTTCAAAAATCTTATCTTCTCAAGCACTCCCATATTTATCATTTCAGGGTACTCAACCTAAGGTCTTTAGCATTTCTCCTAAGTGGTTTCCTACCTTGAATCTACTCAAATTGCTGCCAATTTTTCATTTGCTACTAAAATCATCGAGCCAGCCACACATACTAGGGGAAAAGGGAGCTCAGATAGAGAAGGGAGCACCAAATGAAGGGTTTTGGGAGGATCCTCCCAGGATGGGAGAAGCATGCTGAAAGTAGACTATAGACCAATCATGATTGCCACTCAATGCCTCTTTTGCAAACCACAACACCCAAAAGGAAAGAGAGAACAAAAGGGAATGCCCTGCCACAGAGGCAGGGTGGGATGGGGGGAATGAGGGGTGGGAGGGATACTGGGACCCGTGGTGGTGGAAAATGGGCACTGGTGAAGGGATGGGTACTTGATCATTGTATAACTGAAACCCAAGCACAAAAATATGTAAGTCTACAACTGTACCTCATGGTGTTTCACTAATAAAAATAATAAAAATTAAAAAAAATAAAATCATCGAGCTGGAGCGATAGCACAGCAGTAGGATGTTTGCCTTGCAAGCTGCTGGCCCGGGTTCGAGTCCTCCACCCCTCTTGGAGAACCCAGCAAGCTACCAAGAGTATCTCTCCCGCAAGGCAGAGCCTGGCAAGTTCCCCGCGGAGTATTTGATATGGTAAAAACAGTAACAACAAGTCTCACATTTGTTGTGAGACATTTCTGGTGCCCGCTTGAGCAAATCAATGAACAATGGGAGGACAGTGCTACAGTGCTAATAAAATCATCAGTGTCTTTCACCAGTACCAAACATAGAGCTTTATCCTATTATATTGCGTTGTTCTAATATATTGCATCATCAGTGTCTCACAGAAACTTGCGAAGCATCTTTAAGGGCATGAAGTTAAGGTTCTATTCCATATTTTTTTCTGGAAATTTTTTTTTGTCTTCAACTGAACTTAGGTTCTATCTGCCAATATTGGTCTTGAATCCATATGATAGAGACAGTCTTTTGTCATAAGAAAAGGTGGAGTTGGTAGGGGGATAGTGAGAGTTATAAGCTCACTAGAATCACAAAAATTCTTTTTATTTGAATTCTATGCCAATAACTAAAAATCTGCTTATTCTTTCATTGTTCAACATTTATTCATATTTTCCTCTCTCCCCCTGCCTGCCTTCTCTTCCTCTTATTATATGTGTTTACCTGCTTCTTTAATCCAGAGGAAAAACAATTTAAATTATATGTGGTTTCCTCTCCCTTTTTGTCCATCTTTACAAATAAATCTAAAGCTCAGCATAGAGAATGAATTTATAAAGTATTTTTAAACCGTTTCCAATCATGCATCATGCCTAGTGGCTTCTCTTATCTCTAAGAAACACTGTGAAAAACAAAGAAAAACCGGTGCTTGTTCGGCTGGATAAAGAACAGTTATGCTCACAGTTCTTTATCTCTGGGAACAGACAAGACATACCCTTGGGTTTATTGATCAGCAAATAGAAAGTGGAAAGAGGACTCATTGAAAGTACGTGGAGTAGAACACTGAGAAAGAGTGTGTTCCTTTATTTCCCCCTGAACAAATAGTACAAAAAAGAAGAAAGGAGAAGAGATGTGAGGGAGGGGCATGTTCTGGCTCTCCTATTTGTCTGCTTTCACAGACAGCCTGCTATTCCCAGCTCCCAGCACAAAGAAGCAGGCTCATGGGCACATACACACTATGTCCAAGAAGATGGCCTCCAAACTTCTGAAATAGCAAATATCAAGGAATGAGGGAATGATATTTCAAGAGGATCCCTGCTCACTAGGTCTTTATCCTACCAAACCCAGATTCCCTCCCCTCTAGTTACAGAACCTAAGGCCGATTTATGAGGTGGTATCTGGATGGACTTTTTTTCGGTTTTGTTTTTGAGTCACATCAGGTGTTGCTAGGGTTTACTACTGGTTCTGTGCTCAGAGATCACTCCTGGTGGCGCTTGGGCGACTGTGGTGCCAGAGATACAACCCAGATCAGTCAAGTGGAAGGCAAGCACTATAACCAACGTACTATCTTGCCAAAGCCCTCTTCTTTAAATAAGCTTTGTACAACTTTGAATTTAGATATCGCAAAAATACAAAGGAAATATGTGGTGGTTTGGTTTAAACAGCTGTTTTAGTAGTTTAATCAGTTCCCTTCAGTGATCTCCAAACAGAAGCATTTGTTTCGAAATATTCCTATCACACTAGGTGTGACAAGATGAGGGAACAATAAAAGTGGCTTTTTTCACTTTTTAAAAATTGAATCACTGGGAGAGAAACAGTTACAAACTTGGTAAAGATTGGGATTCAGTCATACAACGTTCTAACACCCATCCCTCCACCAGTGTACATTTCCTGCCACCCATCTTCCTAGTTTCCTTCCTGCTCCTGCCCCTCGACCCCAGCAATACAGTTTTGTTTTGGTTTAGTTTTTTTTGGTTTGGTTTTTATTTCATTTAAAATTAAAATTTTTTTTATTGAAATAGTCACAACAGTGTTTATTGATTGTGAAGTCAGTTCTGCTTTCATTTTTGTTTTTTTCAATAGAATTTTAATATTGTATTTTTCTGGAATTTTTGAAAGGGCTCTATCAAAGTAAAGACAAAAGATTTCAATTCAAACTCAAAATTTTTTAGTTTCAACTGTATATCAGACATGGTATACTTTCACAAAATGAAAATATTTTCTTACATAGAAATCATTTTTGGCATGTAACATTTACAAAACTATTAGCTAATGTTAATTGGCTGAACTAGACAAATGTATTTTAAGATGACCAATTTCAGTAGTTTAAGGTAGTTACAAAGTTCACCTATCACTTTTTTTAAATCGTTTCTAACCAACTGACTGAAAGTCATGCTATGATTGAACCACCTTTATGAGGAAAGATGGTCATTGGTAAGGAAATTAAGTGGACCAAGCCACAGAAAGCCTGCCTTACCACAGACTCCTTTCTAGGGCAAGTCCCTGTGAAACAGCAGTCTTTGCTAGCTGTATATCAACTACTGCCAACATTATCAAGCAATACTCCAAATTGTCCTGCACATGTGACTATCTGTCTACATGTAACACACAAAGTCACTTCACATCACAGCAAACACATTTGACACAGGAATAATCTGGTATTCACTTAGATGTTTTCCTTTAGCAATTTACTTCACCCCAATTCTTTCGCCATTCTGGTGATAACATTCCCTTCTACTTACAGGATGAAATAATCCATTTGACTCACAGTGGACATAAAATTGATTTTGACACCGATGGTCAACAGCTTTGAGGAAAGATACTTCTGAGTTTTCAAAAGCTTGGGTATTTTCAGTACTTTAAGTTAATACCATAACCAATATAGACTTGAAATATATGTAGAGTCAGGATGGACTTAATCTATTCAAGATGGGAAGAGTTGACATGGGAAAGGAACCAAGAAGTTGAAAATCAACATAGAGTTCTTGCTCTGCCTCTTCCACTTACT